TGGGAAACTTTAGCCTACCCAGCCTCACTAATATTTAGCCTGTTGGGTAGCTAAATTTTCATTTTTTATTTAGTTCATTGAGAATCTTCACAATATCATCTCCATTTCCATGGGAACTGATTCTTCTACTTTGTTCATTTATTCACCTGAGTTAGACACAAATACGAATAAGAAAAATAAGATGGTGAAAACAGAAATAATAATTAGACTCCTTAAGTAATATCGATATTGAGGAAGAAATTACGTTTTTCTTGTCACAAAGGACTATTTACCAAAGATTGCAAGCAGAAGGCTTGAAGAGAAAATACATTGGGCTTGAAAGCTATTGATTCTTAGGCTTTAAAAATGCCATTATCCAGTGTCAGCTAATTTACTTGTGGTGGAGATCAAACAGGCAGTGTTTATTAACTTTGATTTTTTAGACAGGCAGAATGGTCTCTTCTCTCATGAAGATTTGCCTACATCACTTTACATTTTCGCACAGATTAGGATAGGAAAATCTCATTGCTGATAAAAATGTTCTCTCTGTGTCAAAGCTGTAGTAATGACTACTGGGAAAAAGGCCCTGTGGCTCATTGTCTGAGGATGATAATCATGACTTACAGGAAGATACAGGTTACGTGGATTTAACAACATGACTTCCTAAACAAATACCAACAAAAAACCCTGTGTAAAAGGCAAAGATTCAAGTGACTAAAAGAAACAAAATGGATGGATTACATATTAAATTAAAAACCTAGAATCAATCTAATTTGTTTTGGAGAACTGCCTTCAGCCAATGTCTGCAGGGGCTAAAAATGATTTTGTTCTTTCAATCTGTCACCACAGCTCCTACCTTTCAGAATTGGAATAGGCCTAGCTATCCTCTTGAGTCAGACAAGTCTGGACTTTCTGTAATACATCAATTTGTATATAACGACAGATGTGATTACAGTATATTAGATTTGAGATAACTGGGGGCATTGCACATTATCTGAAACCTGTGTTCTCTGTAAGATATGACAGAACACAAAACATAAGATGATAAATTTAAACAAATATAAATATACAGCAATTCAGAAATGCTGAGTAAAAATAACAGAGGAAATTACTATACAGTATTAATCTTGTATATTATATATCTACAGGGAGATATATTTTTCAGGGAAGTAAATCAGTTCTCCAGGATGTCTGGTGCGTATGTTCTAAGTAAATGTCTCCCCTGAAATCCAATATTTGCATTAACTGAATAGCTGTCTTTGCTAGCCTAATAGAAGAATACCGTACTTGAATATTTATGAGTGATTCCAAACTATTGTACCACAATATCCCTTTTGTTGGCTGTGATTTAATTATTGAAGAGATATTTTAAATTACTTTATTAAAGCACGTTTTCCATAATTATGACATGAATCAAGTTAGACTGGTGGATGTGCCATTTAAAAATCTACTGTACTTTTAATATCATTCTATGTCAAAGATTGCAGTACAGTTTCCTCTTCAGGTTTCATGACGGATAAAGCAAGAACTTCAAGTATAATTTTCTGTAGCTCTTCCACAAAAGGATTTCATCTCATCCTGGCGCTGCTAGAAACATTTTCAGGGAGAAGTGAGAAATTACCTAAAGCTCTGAAGTTATTACAGAGTATGTTGCACAACCTGATCTTGATGTAGTAGAACATATTTCCATGGATGATAGTAAGGAGTTTGGAAATCTTTGTGTGTGAGGGGTGTACAGTGTGGAAGACGTTATCAAGCAATGTTTTTACGGTGATTTTCAGCAAAGTGCTGAAAAGTGTGGGTCAATCAGCTCTGTCAGCAATTGGAATACTGAGACAAGTTAAAGAGATCTGGAGTTAAACTGGAGATCTTCAGCAGATTCACACGTTGTTCAACAGATCCAGATATGTGTGGAAAGTAGGATCCTCTGTGGTTAAAAAGTAAAGGCATGGATATTCAGCGCTTTATATGGCATTTAATTGTTTTATAACTGCAGCGTTGACTGGTCACCCTAGCATGTATAATGTTCCTTTTGCTGCGTTCTGTGATTTCCATGCATCAGAAGAAAACACTTTTATTAATTTACTCCATAGTTCAATGAGCATAATATTCTCTGGAAAAAAATCTGTATATATCATAATAGTGTAGGTGAACCAATTTGCCAGTTTTCTTAACCTGAACTTGTGCCTCATTTAAGTGAAGCCACTAGGGTTGTGCCACTGTCCTTGCTTTCATGTAGGTATCAGATAGATTATTTTTGCAGATTCTGCAAACAGGGCACAGACTGTACGGTAGCTCACAGATTAGGTAAGAGCTAAATGTTACAAATGAAAATAGGTCATGTGGCCCTAATTTTTAATGTGATGAGTATTACTAACTTGATCACATCCTTTATTACATGATCACAGAAAAAAGGCTGGTTATACATTCCTTTTTAGTTTGTTTTTACATGGCCAAAATGGTTTGTGTAAAGACTTCATAAAGTCTAATATTAAGTCATTTACTTAGTAAGAGGAATAATGGTGCATATGGTATTCTGTTCCCTTCATCTTTCATTAGCAATTATGTATAGTTTCCTTTTTGCCACCTCCAAACAACAGATGAACATTCCACGAAAACCATTGCATTTCAGAAAATGGTTATGGATGGACTGTAATTACAAAAAGTTTACCACAGCTTTATGAGAATTTTAAATGTGCAACAACAATCTTATGTAATGACAATCCCAATAAAAAACCTGCTCTTTAAAGTATATCATAGGAGCTTCACTCTGCATCCATTGTGTTCTTTTTGCAGAACACCTGCCAAAGAAAAGCCAAGAGTAAGAGTAAATTATCCATAAGCCTGTTAGTGAAATCTCCCAGGCCATCTCCCAGGGCACTTAATGAATATTCTTCAGGGAATCTGAATGATTCAACAAGTCCTAGAATATGCATTCAAGATCAGAAGAGGTGCATAAATACTTTCTGAAAGTCTGTCTTTTTAAGTAAGACTTGTCTTTTAAAGTAATGGTGTTCACTTTTAGAAAACAAAAAGATTTTGTTATAGTAGAAGTCATTCATCATGATATTCTGTTTTTACCAAAAATCAGGTAAAAATCTTTTATTTTAAGATACACCTAATAGAAAAGACATGTGCTGTTTGTATAGATAGGGAATCTATAAATTTATGAATGCACCTTAGGAAATTGAATTAACACAGGCGTGCTGCATGTATTGTTCTATTGTTTCATATCTGCTTTATTGCGTAATTCAGAAGATACTTGTTTTATATATATAAAACTAGAAATACCATCACTTCGATTAAGGAATGTTTTACCAATATATTGTTTTCAGATTTTGCTGTTGTTTATAGACACAAGGTGTTTAATAAAATTGAAGATTTAAGATTACAGTATGTTTAAAAAATAATAGTTAAGTGGTGGGCAAAAGATGTGAGCTCTTTTTGCAACAAAGAAAAGATGGATGTGTATGATAGCAATGTTGATTGGAACATTGGAACATTGGAACATGGCCATGCAGAATAAAGTACTTAGCATTCTGTTTCAAAAACAAATGCCATTAGTGTTGAATCTGCACAAAGAATAAAACAATTATTAAATTGGTAACATAAATGCATATCAGTATAATGGCTTCAGAACAACTGTTCCTGGCAGGCAAAGTGTTAAAGAAGAGATTAGAGGGCCTGTATAAAGCAGTCTCTTTTCAGTGCTTTTCTCTAACACGACTGTTTCATGGAGTGATGGCCGGCTGGTGGCAACTCCATTAGGCAGCAAGTAATTGGATGTGCACATCAAGAATAATGTATGTGGAGGACTCCTGGGGCTGCAGACTGCTGACAGTTCACTTTTTATTGATCAGCTGTATGAAACAGCGCTGGCAATAAAGGCTTATTGCCATATGCTGTCCGCTGTACTTCTTGGAAATATTATATTGCATAGAAATCAGAAATAAATGTTGTTTTTTATTACTTTTCAGGGAGAAACGACTTTATATATACAGCAATAAGCTCCTTATTTGAACAATTTCATGAGGCACATTGGCACAAAGCAGAAAAGTTACAATAAATCATAGAATTTAGAATAATGTTCAGAAACGGTAAAGATAAGCTAATTGTGGCAGACTGTACTGTAGCAATGTGATCTTCATTAAAAAACATTCGTATTAGGCTGTTGAAAGAATGTTTTTGTTATGAAAACAGAAACACTTATTCTTAGAATAACAGAAGAAAGTACCGGCTATTTAAAAACATCAATTTACAGTAACATGGTGTAGGCTAAGGACAATAAGAAATTATAACAGAACTTAAAACCGTACGATTTCACAGAACTGTATCTCTGCCAAATGTATAGTGCAGTTGTTTCAGTCTGGTATTTAAAAAATATTTTTCATAATACTGATGTATTGCCTGGTCTGTTCTAAACTGATTCTAAATTGATTTGTGTAATTAGTCATAAAAAACAAGCCACGTGGTACCTGCAGTTATCCTCCCAGTTCCACATTATCACTGTAAAGTTTATTTGCCAATATTTCTAATTAAAAAGTGTTTTTCACACCTTGATTGGTGTTGTATAATTCCCATTGCAGGGCCCCATTGTTTTAGCAGAGCAAAATGAAGCTACTGTATGAAACTAAAGTTCTGCCCTTTGCAAGTATCGTTAAAAAACAGAAGGATTTTAAGGGGTAACAGTACCACTATATTAATCATCCATGCAGTACATAATAACATTCTGAGCAGATTCATTTATGCATTCTGAAAATACACTCATATCAAAACCACCATTTTAGTTTCAAATGAAATAACAGGTTTCCCATTCCTCTAACTTCTAAACTTAATTTTATGACCTTTTTAAGTATGTATAGCCATAAAACCAATTTCACTGTCGCGTTCACAATACATTTTATCTGTCTTAGAATACCTAACAGCATGTACATAATATAACATAAACATGTTTTTAGCTGTTGACGTTTTCCCCAGAATAAGTTCCTTTTGTCTAATTCTGCTGTTTATCACTTTTCAAGGTCAAAAAATCCTACACCACAAAAGCAATGTTCTGGAAACTGTTGTTCTCATCAATCCCTCAGATGATGCAGTCAGCACTGAGGTAAGTGGTTTGTTTGAAAGCTCCTACATTTTGAATGCGCACCAGTTCAGGCTATTTCCTCATCTTTGTATGTCCTATACAAGTGTGTTCCACAGTCACCAAACAATATGAATGAGTGTACCATGATGAGGATTTCTTTAATATGTAAGACTTTTTTGGAGTAATAATTTTACTTTGCCAATGAATCACTGTGTATTGAATGGAACTCACAAATATATACACACAAATATATCATGTTAAAATCTGGAATAGATTTAAATATAGAATAAGATACATCATTTACAACATCGTCCTCATCTTTTGATCTGACGGTCTTAATTGGCGACTGTCACAGGGGAGCTATATCTTCCATTTCTTCATAAAAGCCTGAAAAGGGAAGCACAACATAACGTGTTGGTTCTACTCAGATTATGAGAAGGGGAATGACTAATGTATTCTCAAGCTTTGTAGCAATTTCCCATTAGGCTTAAAAGGGATGAGCATACTGTACAGGCATTAGAGCAAAAAAAAGGTAATTCTGATCAGTCTTTCTGCCTCATTTGCAACCAGAAGATTAAGATGGACAAAGGGGCAGCCTGTCACCTGTAACATTTATTATATTCCTATGGGTAGATAACAAATTAGCAATATAATCATGTTTATCTTGTATACTTGGATGGTAAAAGCTGTTAAAAGAAAAAGATGTTAAAACACATATCATCTAGGGTTATTTTTAAAGGTTTTCCCAGATTTTCAATGAATTGCAATTTGCTATTACCCTTTCAGATATCTACTGTAGCTACCTTTGATGTGATTTATGAATTTCTAAGATAAGATTTCATCATGACAGTAGACAGTACAACTATCCGAAAAGACTTCTAATTCCGCTTTGTGTATAAAGTATCAAAGTAAAAAACCACAGGCAGGTGTTCAGACAGCTATTGATATCAACAGACATATCAAACAGACATTTTAAATGTCAATTGTATCACTTTTTAATTAATATTATATTAAATGAAGTTTATTGTAAATGTGTTTTTAATTTATTGATTTGGCATGTAGTTCTATACATTTCCAGAACTCTTCTTTGAGGAAAAATGTTTTCATGCCTTTTATTCCAAAGTAATTTATTATAATACAATTAACGTATAGAAAACAAAATGAAAACTTTGATATTAACCTAGCCCTCATTAGGCATTGTTCCTGTGAAAGACAGATCTATAGAGCCAATATGTACAGTAGGCCCGTGTAGTTATGCCCTATCAGGGGCTGTGACCAAACAAGTGGGTAGAGAAGACTAGTTCTAGCAATGCGTATCTCTCATTTGAGAAACAGAAGTGAGGATAATTCCAATACCACCATTTAAATTATTGTAGAAAAATGCTATAACATGCACCAAATTGACCTAAAAACTCTCATGTCCTGCATAAATCAGTTTATTTATAAGGGAAACAATCGACCCCTGGAAAATTTCCCATTGGCTGTTCATGGTGCCTGTGTGGCTCATGAAGCATTAAAAAGTTAGGATAAACATGTATCGACAACAGAGGACAATGACCTGTAATCTAAATGGAAGTGCACAGCTATTCACTGACAAGCCCCCTTCCCATTGTGTCCAGAGCTGCTCTGCTTTTTAACAATACAGCACCGTAGGTTGATAGGGGCCCTGGCAGGCAGCCCAGGACAGGCAGTGCTAGCAAAGGGGGGAAAAAGACAGCTAATTCTCTAATGGATTTAATACAATTGAAATTGATGAGATTTGTGTGAGTCACATCAGGCAGATGACTGTGCCTGTTGGCACAGTACTGCGTAATATAAATTGACATGGCTCGTGTCTTTGAAAATAAATGCGCTCTTTTGACTTCGAGACCCCCCACATGTCAGCCCTTTACGGCAAGCACAGTACAGTACAACTTTAGTAATTAGATAAAAAAACAATAATGGAAATATTGATAGGACTCCAGTGTAATGTACAGTAGCTGATATTCAAATAAAGAAAAGTATTGTTAAAAAAGCAGAACAAAGAATTGGTAAAACTGTATTTGACATTAAGAGCTTTCAGAAAATATAACTGAGTGGATGATTCCTCTTAATAATGTAATGATTTTTTAGTTTATTTGATTAAGTACTGTAAATTTTAATCCAGCACTGTGTTTTGTGTGCTGATTTCTTGTAATATGATAAGGACACCAATTCTTTGCCTGCGAAACCATTTCAGTGCAGTACTTTGAACAGCCCAGTGCACTGTTGACCTTGTCTGACCCATTACAGTGCTTATTTCACATATTGACTTCACATGCGACAGCTGGCAGTGTAGCTTCTCCAACAGTATGACAACTCATATCTTTTAGGAATTCTGATTAAGTGCGGGTATCGGAACATACTGTTTTTCACAGTATATTATAAATTTGACAAACAGTGAAGAGCTTCTGCAAAGATACTGTAAGTGCTCTTCGTGTTGAATTCTCCAAGTGTTTTTGTCAGTGTAACTGTTATACACTCTTAGTCAATGTTTTGATTAACATAGGATGTACTGTAAGCACACAGGAGTGGCTGGGATTGTCCTCTTTCCCCCACTTATAATCTACTAAATATGGCTTGCCCTAAAGAGAGATATTTTCTAAATACAGTTAAAAAAGTGGAAAAAATAATAACTTTAATTTATAAAGCACCTATCCAAACCCAAGGACGCTGTGCATAATAGAATAAGACAAATTGTAAGACAATCAGACATACAGTAGGCCACAATAAAAATGTATTTTAAGTTTCATTTTGAAAACAGTCAAAGAATCTGCCTTTCATAAAAATGGAACAATGACAGAAAAATCATGGTCCTAATTACTGTGAGCAAAGGACTCAACTGAACAGAGTCTATGTGAGGGATTGGGTATATGAAGGAGTTTAGAAATATACAATATGATAGAGTCAGATTATTTAGAGCCTTAGTACTTGAATGAATGTCAACAGAGGTTTTTGTTAACATTGAACAATAACTGTGAGGAAGGAAAAAGTTGTTTTCTGCGGCAAAGATAAATGTTTACTGTGGTTCATAGAAATGTCTAACAGCATATTTCGTAAGTCTATTATAACAGAACAGTAAAAATGTAATACAGCAACTGAATACTAAGTTGAAAGCTATTGGATTATGATTGGCATATGTACCTTCTCGATGAGAAAGACAGTTCATTAAACTCTTTTGCAGCTCACTAAATCCTCTGCATAATTATAAAAACAAACATTATCTGGTCATGAATATGTTATACAAAATACATTAATGAAATACAAAGTCTTCTATTTCTTAATAACATACAGAATGTAAGATTAAGCTGCTACTGTATAATACTTGGAAGACAAAGCTCACATATAATTGTGATTGAGGAACAGGCATGATATGCTTTCTTTAATAAATAATTTAAATTTCCATAACACCAGCATAAATGAAAAGTTTAATATCTTTCAAAGAAAATTATATGCTTATTATTTGAAATCTATTTTCTGTTCCATCGCCTTAATAATACACACTGTGAAATTAGCCAGCTAATTACTAGTTTCCTTCTTGATTTACATTGCCAAGGTATCCTCCTACCTAACCTCCCACTCAGCCTTCCCTAGACAGCCTAAACTTTCTTTTAAATGATACAATTAAGCATTAGTTGTTTGTAGTTCTTATTTTTGGATATGCTGTAGAAGATCATTAAATGCAACAACAAAGCATATTGAGTATTCCAGTGTCATCAAGATTTCCTTTCAACTGCAATCCCCTTGAAAGAGTGAAATTAATCTTTCTTTCTTTCTTTTTGTCTAGGTTCGCTTGATGATCACAGATACTGCCAGACACAAGCTGCTTGTATTGTCAGGACAATGCTTTGAAAATACTGGGGAGCTGATTCTGCAAGCTGGGTCTTTCTCATTCCTGAACTTCATAGACATCTTTACAGATCAGGAGGTGAGCTGCTGATATGTTTTTTTCATCATTTTACATTGCAGTGGACTAATATTTAATTTCAGATTGAATTCATTGAACACACATTAAGTACCCATTTTCTAATTCCTATGTGATTTTATACAGTGTGTATTTTATAAGTGCGTACTGTGGGTGAAAAATCTTTGATCTAGTTGAACAGGATGCACTTTCTAATGAATTATGATTGACATGTCAGTAATAATTCATTTTTTATTAGTGGAAGTGAATACAAATACTAATTAGATAACCCTTCAAATGCAACTTGTGTCTCATGCCATTTCTTCACATCAGAGATAACAAAGAAACAACAATCAATGTGAGGCTTTACGGTTAATTACCAAATCACTTTTTCCCCCAACAGATTGGTGAATTGCTTAGCACCATACATCCTGCCAACAAAGCAAGTCTTACTTTGTTCTGCCCTGAAGAAGGGGACTGGAAAAACTCAAATCTAGACAAACATAATCTACAAGACTTCATTAACATGAAGCTGAACTCTCCCTTGATACTTCCAGAAATGGAAGGCCTTTCGGAGTTCACAGAGTACCTGTCTGAGTCTGTAGAGATCTCATCACCATTTGACATGCTTGAGCCCCCAACCTCTGGAGGATTTTTAAAGCTCTCCAAGCCATGCTGCTACATCTTTCCAGGTGGCAGAGGAGATTCTGCATTGTTTGCAGTTAATGGATTCAACATGCTCATCAACGGAGGCTCAAATCGCAAGTCCTGTTTCTGGAAACTTGTCAGACATTTGGACAGAGTGGACTCCATTCTCCTGACTCATATTGGAGATGATAACCTCCCTGGGATCAACAGCATGCTTCAGCGCAAAATAGCAGAGCTGGAAGAAGAACAGTCGCAGGGTTCTACTGCAAACAGTGACTGGATGAAAAATCTCATATCACCTGACCTTGGAGTTGTATTTCTTAATGTCCCTGAAAACCTCAAAAACCCAGAGCCTAATTACAGGGTGAGAAGAAATATTGAGGAAGCATCTCTTACATTGCAGTACCTGAACAAATTGTCATTAAAACCAGAGCCTCTTTACAGAACTGCCGGGAATGACATAGAGCCTATCATATTATTTCAGAAAATGGGAGTTGGTCGATTAGAGATGTATGTGTTAAACCCCATTAAAAACAGCAAAGAGCTCCAGTATTTTATGAAACAATGGACTGGTAGTGAACAAGACAAAGCTACTGTGTTGCTTCCAAATGGAAAAGAATCTGAGGTCCCAATATCCTATCTAACCTCTATTTCATCTTTAATAGTATGGCATCCTGCTAATCCATCTGACAAGATAGTCCGTGTTCTGTTTCCTGGCAATGCATCACAACACGGTATACTGGAAGGTCTGGAAAAGCTTAAACATCTGGACTTCCTGAAACAGCCAGTAGTAACCCAGAAAGAGTTGTCTGAAAACTTTGCACCAGGGTTGAAGCAAGCTAAATTGAAGCAGAAGAGTGACAGCAAGGAGAGTCTAAAATCAACTTCAAGGCCTCCATCAAGCAAAGGGATTAGGAAAGAATCAAGGGAAGAGGCCTCAGAGACAGCAAAAGTTGACACTGACATACCACAAGAAAAGGTGCAAAAAACAGAGAAAAAGGAAAAGCCTCCTGTGAAAAAAGAGAAAGCAAAGCCTCAAGCAACAGAGAAAGAAGTCAAAGCCAAGCCAGAGCAGACCGTTAAAGTGGAAACACCAGAGAAGCAAAAACCTGAAGCAAAACCAAAAACAACAAAAGAAAAGGCTGTTAAAAAAGAGGCCAAGGTCCAAAAACCTGATGAAAAGAAAAAAGAGGAAAAAGAACCAAAGAAGGAAGCAGTAAAGAAAGAGGTTGCTAAGAAAGATGTTAAAAAGGAGGAAAAGGTAAAAAAGGAAGAAGTGAAAAAAGAGATTAAAAAAGAACCAAAGAAAGAAGGAAAAAAAGATGTGAAAAAAGATTCTCCAATGAGGGAAGTAAAAAAAGAAGAAAAGAAAGAACAAAAGAAAGAAGAAAAGGATGTGAAAAAGGACATAAAGAAACCATCTAAGGATATAAAGAAAACCGCAGCACCTCAGGTTGAAGCCAAAAAGCCTGTGCCAAAACAAAAAGTGCAAAAAAAAGAGGAATTATCAAAGAAAGATGTTGGAAGTCCTGGGAAACAAAAAGAAAAGGTAAAGGGTAAAGGGGCCCAGAAGGATGCTAAACCAAGTGTAACTAACATTGCTGCTGCTGCTGCAGGAGCAGTGGTAGGAGCAGCAGCAGCTACTGGCATTGCAGCTCTTGAAGCTGAACGGTCCCTGATGTCTTCTCCGGAGGATCTCACAAAGGACTTTGAGCAGCTCAAAGCTGAAGAAATTGTAGAAGATACTGAAACTGTGCCTCAAACTGAACAGAAAGAAGAAGAGTCAGTTCTCATGATACAACAGGAGGAAATAGTTCTCTGTAAAGAGTCCCCTGAAGTTGAGGAGCCTGCTGAATCACTGGATGAAGGGATAATGACCACTGAAGCTGATGGAGAATGCGGAGAGACCCCAGATGAACTTGAACCCAAAGATAAAATTAATGTTGATGTTAATGAGAAATTTGAAGATGAAGGTACAGGTTTTGAAGAATCATCAGAAGCTGGAGACTTTGAGGAGAAAGGGGAGACAGAAGAAGTGGAAGAACAAGAAGAGCCTGTGGAAAGGACAGACAAGCTTCAGGAGAGTGTGGTAGACACTGAAGAAGAGGAGCTACTTGAAAGAAATAAACAACCCAAAGTTGAACAGATGTTAAGTGATCAAGCTTCAAAGGGCATAAAGCCTGTGGGAGATGGGGAAGATTTAGAAGAAACAATTGAAAAAGAGGAACCAAAGGAAGAAGAGGATGAACAGATCACCACTGCAAAAGATGAAAAAGACAAAGATGAAGATGATGATGAGAGAGAAATTGAATTTGATGAGACAGTGGAGAAGCGGAGCTTACCTGCTGCAACACCACCCAAAATGTCTGCACCTCAGTCTCCAGCTGTTGAGCATTTATCTATTCATGATGAAACACTTCCAGCTGGTTCTGAAAGTGAAACTACAGTATCTGATGAAGAGAACCGTGAAGAACCTCCAGAGGAATTTACAGCCACATCAGGCTACACACAATCTACCATTGAAATCTCCAGTGAGCCAACACCAATGGATGAAATGTCAACACCAAGAGATATTATGAGTGATGAGACCACCAATGAGGAAACAGAATCACCTTCTCAGGAGTTTGTAAAGTATGTATCAACAGCACAGACTGGTGACTATGACAGAAGTAAGCTCTTCCCTCTTCCTGATAGTTACAACGCTTTAACATCAGATCATTCAAAGAGTGATGCCACTGAAGGGAAGGACTATTATGCATCAGCCTCCACCATATCGCCGCCATCATCAATGGAAGAAGACAAATTTTGCCAAAAATTTGCAAGCGAAGTAACCACTCCCAAAGAAGAAGAAGGCGGTTACCGATTAAACCTGGAAACCCCGGATAAGCTCACTCTTGACACAAAAATTAGCCCAGCTCCAGTCTCACCTCCAACAAAAACACCAACTAGTGAACGCAGTGTTAATTTTGACCTGACTCCAACATCAATCACTGCACCAATTGAGTTGGGAACAGCTCTTTCCGAAGTTGCCAGTGCAGTGGTTGAACAGTCGGCTAGTCCAGATGATAAAACTTTAGAAGGGGCTTCCTCCTCACAGTCGGCTCCTGGAAGTGCGGGTCACACACCTTACCACCAGTCCCCTGTGGATGAAAAGACAAGCTCTCTACCATCTGACAGTGCTGCAAAAGCTCATAGTCCAGTAACAATAGAAATCACAACTGACAAAAAAGAGCCTTCTGACTTCAGAGTCAGTCCTATGGATGAGCCTGTGCCAGATTCTGCCTCACCTTTTGAGAAGGTATTGTCTCCTCTTCGTAGCCCACCACCCATAGGATCTGGATCTTCAACAGAAAGATCTCCAAATGCAGAAACAAAGTCACACTTTGACTTAAGTCCAATGGGTGAATACCCTTCGGCTGAAACTGTCATAGATAAGGAGAAATCATCAGAACATGACTTGCAACAAAGTAAAGAATGTTTTAGACTGGAGCACACTTTACAAGACAGAGCAGAGAGTGCAATGAAAGCCACATCTGATCTGTCCCCTGTGTTAGTTGACACAAGCCAGTTTGGATCTTTTAAGGAGGAAAGCAAGATGTCTATCTCGGAAGGAACCACATCAGACAAGTCAGCCACTCCAGTTGATGAAGTTGTAGCAGAGGATACATTTTCTCATATAGAAGGAGTAGCATCTGCCTCTACAGCCTCTCTTGCTACCAGTTCATTTCCAGAACCAACAGCAGATGATGTCTCACCCTCATTACATGCTGAAGTGGGCTCTCCACACTCAACTGAGGTTGATGACTCTCTGTCTGTATCTGTGGTCCAGACCCCAACAGCATTTCAGGAAACAGAGATGTCTCCCTCTAAAGAGGAGTGCCCAAGGCCAATGTCAATTTCCCCAGACTTTTCACCTAAAACTGCAAAATCAAGTACACCTGTACAGGAGCCAAAATCCCCTGAACAGTCTACTATGTCAGTAGAATTTGGACAGGAGTCCCCTGATCATTCTTTAGCCCTAGATTTCAGCAAACAATCCCCAGAACATCCAGCAGTCAGTGCAAATCTGCACATTACTGAGAACGGACCAACAGAAGTCGAATACAGTCCTTCCGACATGCCAGATTCCAGTTATGCAGAACGATGCATGTCTGCAGTAGAGAAACCCATACTATTCAAGGATATTGATTCTGCACAGATTACTTCAATTTCTCCAACAGACGCATCTCAGTCAACCCCATCTGCTCACACTCCTTCACAATCCACTTCTCCTTTGAAAGAGGAATATGCTGCAAGGGCCACAGAGCCCAGTGATGTTACATCCCTGGGCTTTGGTAGCTCAGCATCCCCAGAGAGTCTGACTCTAAAAGTTGAAGAACATTCACAGCTGCAAGATAAATCTCCTGTAACTCCCAAACTATCTTCTCTCACCCATTCCCCACTTTCCTCTGACTCATCACTGGTTTTAGGAAGTTCTGTGGCACCTGACAACATCTCATTAAAGACTGGGGAATCTATGCAAAGGCAAGAAAAGTCTCCTTCAAGTCCAAAAGCAAGCTCTTCTTCTTCCTCACCCTTACCATCTGATTCAGTATTTGGCATTGGAAGCTCATTGGAACAGGAATCCATTTTATTTAAAGCTGGTGAATTCAAACAAGAAGAGGAAAAATCGCTCATTTCTCCAAAGCCAACATCACCTTCGGTGTCACCTCTTTCCTCATATTCATTCCCCCTGGACACTTTAAAGGGAACCGAAAAACTATTAAGTAAAGCAGAGGAACTTGAACAGGATCAGGTGAAATCTCCAGTCTCTCCTAAGACTGCTTCTCCTGCATATTCCCCAGTTTCCTCTGATTCTTCAAACATCATAGAAAGTTCATCAATACCAGACAGTATGCTTTTGAAATCTGAGGAAACTTCACATCAAGAAATCAAATCCCCAGTCAGTCCTAAAGCAGCATCTCCTACAATTCCATCCCTATCCTCTTATTCATCTGGCTTTCAAGATACACTGACTGCTACATCAGTGTCATCATCGGCAGCTTATTTACTAGGACAAGAATCTAGCATGTTTTACCGCGAAGAGTTGCAGAGCCATAAATCAGTAGTAGAATCTGAAAAAAGAGAACAAGACAGTGTGAAATGCATGGATGGATCAAGAGGTGAAGAAAGCTCTAAAAAGACACTTTCACCACAATCCCGAACAGATGTTGATTTGTGTTTAGTTACGTCTTGCGAATACAGACATCCTAAAACGGAACTGTCCCCCTCCTTTATTAATCCAAGCCCACTAGAGTTTTTTGCAAATGAGGATAATTCTCAAGAAGATGACAAACCTCTAACACAGTCTGGTGGAGGACAGCCCCCATCTGGTGGACGGCACCAGGCAAAACAATGTGAGGAAACTCCACCGACTTCTGTAAGTGAATCTGCTCCTTCCCAGACAGATTCTGATGTTCCACCTGGGACAGAAGAATGCCCATCCATCACTGCCGATGCTAACATTGACTCAGAAGATGATTCTGAGACTCTTCCAACAGACAGAACCCTAACATACAGGCATGCTGACCCCCCTCCAGTTCCTTTCCGAGACACAGCTCCTTCTCCCCCTCATCCTGACGTCTGCATGGTAGATCCAGAAGCGCTACCAGCTGACCAAAACCTCGGAAAGCCTCTGAAGAAAGAAGGCAAAGAAAAGACCAAGAGCAAAAAGCAGGGGAGCAAGACCAAGCCCTCCTCACCAGCAAGAAAAAGTGATATCAAGTCTAAAACGTCCCCTGGGGTTGCAAAAACTAGCGCTTCCAAGGAAGCTTTAGACAAGATGTCAAAAACAGCGTCTCCAAAGAAGAAAAACCCATCTACAGCCAAATCAAATGTAAACACTGAGGTGAAGTGTGGTGAAGAAAAAGATGCCAAGAATGCTACCAACACCTCCGCTTCAAAAGGAACAAAAAGTGCGACCACTGGTAAGTTGCAGTTCTCACTTAGCAGCATTTCCCAACCGGTGTTCCATGCAATTTTGGAAGACACATCTCAGAAAACAAAAAGAGCAAATATTGTTTTTATATTAGTTTTGTGGTGTAATCAAAGTGTCATGTTCCACATTCGGTATATACACATGAAAATGTATATCATATAAATTTTATGAATTAGAAACTGAGGCATCAAGATTGAAAACTCTTCTAAAAAGTCTTGATTTTGGAGAACAGAAAAAACTTAGATAATTTGTATCACATCCTCTGTCCAATTTAAGTATTAACATTTTGCAAGACATTTGATTATATAGTATAATTACGTATTGTGCATTTAATGTGTTTAATACTGTACTGACATCCATTGTCTACGTGCTGGTATTCTATTGTTCAGCCTTTTCTGTTATATCAGTATGCACAAACACAATATTTTATATAAACACACAAAAGCATGGAAACAATGTCCTGTGGTTTTCACTCCTCCACAGAGTTGGGCCTTATTTAATAAAGATATTGAAATTCTTTGGAAAATTACATTTCTTCATTTCTGTGGTTACTAAATGTATAGATGTTTTAAGAGTTTGGTTCCAGGATGAATAGAGATGCATTCTGACAGTGCTGTGTTTCTTTTGTATTGAAGGCTCAGGAAGTGGTAAGGCTGCAGTAGGAAATTCTGTGCCCAACTGTCCTCCAGTGTACCTTGACCTGGTGTACATCCCAAACCACTGCAGTGCCAAGAATGTCGACTCTGAATTTTTCAAGCGAGTCAGATCATCTTACTATGTCGTAAGCGGGAACGACTTAACAGCTCAAGAGCCCAGCAAGGCTGTTCTGGACTCTCTGCTGGAAGGAAAGGCTCAGTGGGGAAATAACATGCAGGTACAGTAAGCATTTCCACTGTACTTGAGCTGAAACAGACTTCTCAAGGGTTTTCACAGACTAGTTGAAGACCGTCTAATGAAGTCTATGGAAATGTCTGATTTGATAAATGCCAACTCAGATTGTATGATAATTTGGAGAATCTATTATTTCAGGATTGAGTATTTGTTAAATGCTCTTTTATTTACATTCCTTTGTTGATAATGAAAACTGTTGCCTGTATGTGAGAAATACATGAGAACATTAAACCCATTTAAGTTACAAAATAAAAATAAATCAGTGGAAGTTTGCTTCACTCTTTTCTGAATAGACATTTAACTGTAAATCTGTTAGGCTTTGAAATTAAATTCCAAGTTGTTTGCATTTTTTACTTCCTCGTGCTTTTAGTTCACAAACCAACATGAAACGTAATATAAAATTATCATAAATCAGTTTTCATACTGCTTTTTTTCTGCACATTTCTTTAAATGCAATAACTTTTCCTCACAGCTGCATTAGGACACGATCTAGGATTGGTGCATTAAATATCTCGATATTAAATATCTGCATCTAAATATTCAGGCTGTTTTTGGTAGCGTGCGAACAATCAGTTTTGCTCTGCAAACCCTTTTTTCCTCCAGTATTGATTTTTGGTGGGAGTCGTGATGGAAATGTAGTAAGGTATTTCCGACTCAGGTTGAAGTGAATGTTGCACTGCCTTATGGGAAATGTCTTCCCAACTCACAGAAGATCCCAGCCAATTAACTGCTGCCCTTGGGATTCTTAGTAACAGCTGACATGCTATAATAGGTTGGTATCAAGCTAGGCAGACTCCATGTTGAAATCTTCTTGTGCTGTTTGTGAAGCCAGTTAATCACTTGGGAATAACCTTTAGAGGAGAATTTAATATACAAAACATTTCCATGCATACAAGTTTGTCCTTTTAGGGGTCATTAGCAGAATAATTGTCTATACTGTACTGCAATATAAGAGAATGCATTACTCTCTGAACAAAATATTTCTGTTGTAGCACTAGGATATGTTATTTTAAGACTTTTTTAATAGCAGGTGCCGTCTACAATACTAAGATATCCTTTTTCCAGTTTTTGATTATTTTTTTTTTTCATTTGCAGGTCACACTGATCCCAACCCATGACTCAGAGGTCATGCGAGAATGGTACCAGCAAACTCACGAAAAGCAGCAGGACCTGAATATCATGGTGCTAGCAAGCAGCAGCACCGTGGTCATGCAAGATGAATCTTTCCCTGCTTGTAAGATAGAACTGTGATTCCTAAACCTTGAGCCTTGCATTGATTCTGCTTTCCTTTGTGAAATCTTCAATGTGAAAGAAACAAAATGCAATTGAAATGAGCAAATATGAAAAATCTTCCTATCCCCCTCCATAAAAGTGAAACACACTCTTGGTGATGCAAGTCACAACTTAATGCAGTCATTAATGATCACTAAGGCACATATTCCCTAAGCAGGCTTCAATCTACTGTATTTCGTTTGAAAACACCAACAGACATAGTATTTTTTAATGCAATACTGTTTCTTTGCTGTTAATCTAACCACAATGCTCTATGATCAGGCTTGCCAATGGAAATAAGAGATTTGGAGTTAATTTGTGTCAGCAGTAGTTTGAATCCTGTTGCTTGTAGAGGAAAATGTTTTAACTCATACACAGAAATAACTCCCCAAGGCATGCTCCCAGTAACACAGCTCCACCAGAAGTAATTGTCTATACTGTACTGCAATATAATTAAATCATTAGAAACCTGCATGTTCAGAAACAGTAATGATATATACATAATAATTAACCATTGGCTTTTACCCTGAAGCATAGACCAAAGGACAAGGGAGTACACATTTTAAAAAATGCCTTAGAAAGTGACTTGAATGTAAAAGAGATACTTGATGCACTTATTTTTTAATGTGAAACAGCAGGTGTATGAGATCAAAATTGTTGCAATTACAAAAAAAAAACAGTTGCTCAACATCTTAATTCAGGTCATAATTCAGAAATCGGTAAAGATGTATGAGTGTGTATTTATACATGTAATAACAATATGGTTTAAAAAACATCACTCACGGAGTGACTGTCTCACTAAACACAAACAACAATATTTCTAGGATAAGACCTTTGAGAATATTGATGATGAAACTTCATCTAGCATGAAAGAGGTCAAGTTTTATTCGTTCTTAATTAAAGGGAGTACTTAATGGATAATGTGATTAAAATGATAGAAATGTCTGGAAATACAGTCCTTATGATGTTTACTTTTTGTTTCTTTTCTAATGTTTCTAGATCTGACTTTACTTTGGTATTCTTATTTTATAATATGATGGTAGAAGAAGTGCCATAAATATTTATTAAGTGATAAAATTTCACTGGCCACATTTATACATGAAAAAGTACATTTTTCTCATCAAAAGGTTTTTTCAATTTGTTTTTTAGTCAAAAACAGATACCTGATCACCACTCTTAACCTAATATTGTGCTGCATTAATTTGGATAGAGCATAAGAAACAGTAATACTTGAGCCTTATTTTTCCAGACTCCAAGTGTGTGGTGTAGGATTTGTGGAATGAGAGCAGTCTAGTTAGATGTTGTTATCCATGTTTGTAGATTATAAACTTCTCATTTGACTATTTGCAGTATTGCATTTTCACAACTGTATTACTTGAGTTTTCCTCTATATACTGTAGTAACCTCATTTGATTTTACATGTCTTGTATGTGTTTTTGATTATTTGCTGTAAGCATATGTTTTGCACTCATAATTTTGCACTTCAGTTTATTTAAACCTTACAGTTTGGGACCAGTGATTTTGCTTCTTCTATAAAAGACATTGAAGATAAGCTAATATTTTGAACTCCCTTTGTCACTCACTGCCTTCAGCACCTTCTCCAAAAGAGAAGGAAAATGTGAAAGTCCTTAAAACTGAATTGTGTGTCTCAGCTTGTTATAGAAGCTGTTAGTAAAACTAAAATACACTAAAATATTCTCTAATAATTTCTCACTAGGTGAACAACGCCAAGCAGCTTCATTAACGACAAACATTTACAAGAACAGTGGAACGAAAGGAGGTCAGGGAGAATTCTTTATAGATTTTAATTAAACACATTGAATATTCCATTATTTTGAATCCCATGAACATTTTAAAGAGGCACACCTTTCTTTTCAGTTTCTCAGATAAGGCCTCCATGCTAAGTTTGCAACAGGTTGAGAAAAGCCGGCTTGAATGTGGCAAGTTTGTTTGATTTGTGAAACGAGATGCTTTCCTAACTTAAGAAAGACGTTTGGGATTTTTTAATACTGTACTATAATTATAAATAACTTTTGTGAGAGGGTGAATGGTTTAGCAACATGTGCATGTGTTTTCAGTGTATTCCAGTTTTTTTTAGTTTTGGAAGGGAACAAATGTTTAGAAAAGGACAACAATGTGCGCACCCATTTAGTGAAGAAAAATGTAAAAGGTCAAATGCCAGACATCGTAATTCATCAGGACAGTGAGTTATCATTACTGGATTTGGTTCAAAATTTGAAAAATACATAAATCCTCCAGATGTCACCACTTGTTCAGGTTTAGAAATGATGTGCGCCTTGTACTTTAACAAAAAAAAAAATCACTTCCTTTCTGGGGCAGGTGACTACCGTTGAGGAGAATTAACATTGCAGATTACAGCCAGAACACTTGGTTGTCCTCATGCCTCCTGACATGAGGACAAGCAAAAGTAACATCTTCCCACTTTCTAGCAGCTTGAATCATGAAAGTGCTACTGTCAGACTTTGAATTTTGTATATAAAACTTGGGGTACATAATGCTTACTCAGAGATGGGATGCAGTTTGTATATGTGGTAAAATAATCACACTTTAACCTTTTTATATTAAAGGCTAAACTGCAAAGCGGGTTTTTACCCTATGTCTAGAACATAGAAGGTTTTAACCGCATTTATGTCTAACAGCCTGTGGTAACAATACCTAATGGAACACTGCACATCCGACGTTCAGCTTCTAGAGGTTGTTCAGAATTTAAAATGCACATACAACAACAGTCAAACTTTATCCTGGATTTGTCAAAATATCTGTGATCAGCAAACTCCACTGAACTGCAGTTGGCCCTGTATTGTGGCTTACAGGAATACAACATCAGTAACTATAACCACACGCATGAACATCTTACCAGTTAACGCCTCAAGAATACACTTGCCCGTGTTGACTTTGCTCTAAGAATCATCTCACACTTTCCTCTCTCCTCTTGGGTGATTGTTAGTGTCTGTCAGCAGCTGTGTATGGTATTTGTCTTGTAATCTTGCATCATTCTCTCCTTTCCAGTCATATCTAATGTAGAGGTTAGTTTCCAGTGAAAGTGTTAAGTAGTGCTTTTCTGATGTTTGTGTGCAATATCTCCTTCTCCCACTGAGGCATTTGATGTAAAGGGAACTACTCTAAAAAAAAAACATCCACAATAAACCCACTTGTGGAAACTCATCATGGAGTCAGTGTTTTCTTCTTTCTTTATAGTATGCATTATCTTTCTTTATGGAAAAGCCTAACAGGTTGCATACTGGGGTATTTGCGTGACTATGTTTGACATTTTAAATGTACTACTGGACAGAAGTGTTCCAAATATGATGGTAAAAATCTTTTCTGTGATCTTAATTGGATGAAAATAACCCATTTGTTGATATGGCAACGAAACAGCGTATTCCAGAGGGTGTTGCTTAAATTCAGAACAGGCAACAGGACACATTTCTTTACTTTTATCAGAAAGTTTTAGGTAAATGGGTTTCCTGTCCATGAAGTCATGTAGACAGGAATGTCCAGCACCGGTCCTGGAAAGTCATAATCCAGGTCACCCTTTATAATAATAATAATACTTGCTTACACTTACTGTATATAGCGCTTTTCTGGACACTCCACTCAAAGCGCTTTACAGGTAATGGGGACTCCCCTCCACCAACACCAATGTGCAGAATCCACCTGGATGATGCGACGGCAGCAATAGTGCGCCAGAACGCTCACTACACATCAGCTATCAGTGGGGAGGAGAGCAGAGTAATGTAGCCAATTCATAGAGGGGGATTATTAGGAGGCCATGATTGGTAAGGGCCAATTGGAAATTTGGCCAGGACACCGAGGTTACACCCCTACTCTTTTCTAGAAGCTCCCCACAGAGAGTCAGGACCTCGGTTTTACGTCTCATCCGAAGGACGGCGCCTGTTTACAGTATAGTGTCCCTGTCACTGTTCTGGGGCATTAGGATCCACATGGACCGCAGGGTGAGCGTCCCCTGCTGGCCCCACTAACACCTCTTCCAGCAGCAACCTTAGTTTTTCCCAAGAGGTCTCTCATCCAGGTACTGACCAGGCTCACACCTCCTTAGCTTCAGTGGGTTGCCAGTTGTGAGTTGCAGGGTCATATGGCTGCTGGCCATATTTAAATATTTAAACACCTGGAACAATTTCATGTCAATCTCTTAATTGAGCGAACAGTTGATTTGTTTACTTAAACAGATTAAACATCAACTGAAAGAATATCAATATTATATAGATATCAAGGACAATTATTGGCTATACCTGACTAAAGAGAATAAATTAACAGACTAAACTGATCACAGTTCACATATGTTCCACACCTTTACAAACTGGTGATGCAAGGTTAAAGCATATGACATGCTGGACTATGGCTCTCCAGGCGTGGCCACCCCGCCGCTAAATCTTTCAAGTAATGGCTAGATTACGTTTATCAAATCGAGACTTGTCCCTGGCACCTACTGTACTTTAGAACTTAGACAAAATGCTCTAGTTTCTGTCACAACCCTTCTTTTTACGCAGACCTCCAAAAGAAGTGAAAAGTAAAACTGTAAACAAGACAAGCAAATCTTGGAATTCATTTTAAAAGGTTTTACGCCGAAAAAATTTTCACCTATGGCTACCACAGTGTGCAGGGAAGGTGTGCCCTTTGTGGCTTACAATCAGCTGCAAGGAAAAACAGAAGAAAAAAAGTGCTTTAAAAAAAACAGAAAAATAGTTGATTTAAGAGCTTCAAGTACAATGTTAGTTGGGTAACCAATGATAACTAGTCTCACGGAAATGCATGGGGTCCTATCACTAAGAAATTAAAAACAAATAACTACCTGTAGCTGTAGAGCTGACAAGTAAGGGTTAATTCACTGAGCAAATGGAAAACGAGGGAGCATGCAGGAATAAGGAGAACAAGGAAAAGGGTAAGGAGAACAAAAGGAAAATCATAAATGGGTTGGGCTGTGGTGAGAAGGGGTCCAGGAGATGGAAATTTGAAAGATGAATTCCATTTCTATTCCAATCCCCCACACACCTGACCTGAGGAAGGCTCCACAGACTGCAATGTCACACTTTTCTTCCTTTTATTTTGCAGCACAGAATTATCTGGAAAGACTTTAAAATGGAAAGACTGCTGACATTATAAAAGGATTTACAGGTAGACAATACCATGCAAAATATATCAACAGGAAATTAAAAAGCAGTGTAACACGAATTACATACATTCAGGACATAACTGTAATATATGTTCTTTTAATATTAAAGAAGAGCTGGATTAATTCAGCAATCCTCAGACTGCACTGACAACTCTGCATAACCAACAGCAGAGAAAAAACTATTTGCACCTACAGTACTTTCATATATCCTATAGCCAATGGATTACTCCACAACAAGTCAAAGCATAGAATGCCCTTGCCTTAAAACATCATTTTAATAGAAACTCTAATATTTGTTGCCCCCCAAAACTGAATATCTTACTAGCCCCAGAACATGTGTACATGCTAGATGAGCTTTTTTCTCATTTTATAATTAAGAATTTGTCAGGTTTTTTTACACAATTTCTTTCATTATTGTAAATACAACGTTAATCATTTCCTATACAGAAAGAGATAGTCTGCATAATAAGTTTTCAAAACGTTGGACCTACTTTTAATAACTGAACTGTAGCTAATTCAGAACTGATGTGGAAAGTCACATGAATCACAAGTCTCCAGAATGAAACCAATGAGGTTTTCTGAATGTCTGCCTTTTTTCCCCTTGCATGATTATTCCTGAATTATATAACATTTTAATCTGTTTACATTCATGTTTACATTATTTACTCAAATGCCCCAATACAGATTTTAAAGTATTCTTTCAAGCACAGCAATTTAGGATATAACTTATCTACAAAGATCTATTACACTACTACTGGGATTTACACATTATTCAAATATATGTAGCCAATCTTCACAATTTGAAAAATGGGTATTTTGTGTATTACTGGTGTGCAGGTAAAATACAAATGTGTCTTTAGGATCTAATGCAACAAAATTCTATTTTATTCTATTTATGAGAATTCTTGAACATACCCAGCCAATTAAAATAGAATATGTCCCCTATGACGTATGACTGTTTGAACTGTTCCAAACCTGGCATGTAGAAGACATTAAGAGTCCAAATTTGTGATGTTTTTGTCAGACTCTTATACTACGCTGACGCTTTGGCTGCCAGCCTGGCCTCTCGTTCCAGTCGTGCCTTTTCTCTCATTTCCCTCTCTCTCCTGATGAGCTGCTCTCTCTCCTCCTCCCACTCCTGGAGCTTCTTTTCGTACAGTGCAATGTCGGCGCCCTCCACTGAAGCTAGCTGTTCGTCAACTAGGTGGGTGGTAAGGGTCACCATGCTCCTCGAATCGACCTTGTCAAGCGACTGAAGCCTACTGCACAGCTCCTATCAAAAGAAAAAGAACAGACTGCTGACAGTGATCCATCCATAGAGAACTCACATATAGGGGTGCTCTAAAGAGACAACACTCTTTCCACAACACTTTGCAGCAGGGCTTCAGTGCTGGTAAAAGAGCTTGTGAATTCAAATTGTAAATTACATATACAGTAGGATCTCAACATCTGTGAATTTAACATTTGCAAATTTTCTTATTCGGGATTCAGTCTGGCCACAATAGATCTGTGTGGAAGAAGAGCAGAGCAGGATGAATCCAAGCCGAAGGTTATTAAATGCGACTTTCAAAACAGCAGTGTATTAGACTAGACTTGTGAGATGAATCTAGCTAGTAACTGAACCTCACTCCTGGTTCTGTCGGCGGTGTGTGGAATGACTGTGTGTTGGAGATGACTTTACAGGCACCTTTCTCATTACAGTGGGGTGTGCTAGTCCCAGAGGCAGAGAGGAAAAGTGCAGGCAACCGCTGGACACAGAGGAGAGATACATTTTGTTTTTTTTAGCTGATTACTATAAATTTTACAAACTGTTGTTTGTTTTCATTGATAAACTGTGTTTTAATTAACAAAGCCAATGCATTAGGACTTTAATTATCATATAAGGGAGGGTTACATATGTCTTTTGCCCATACATACTATGTACTGTAGTACATTAAGCGGTGTTAGAGGGGCAGACGTGACTATATGCAAATATGGCTTATTGCGATGATTCTCTGTACTGAACCCTTTCAAATGTCTACACACTATTGTATAGATGATATCTAAAGCTTTATTTGGTAAGAAACACATCTTGCAAAGCAGCTTCCACATGTTGTTCAAGAAGAGTGCTGGAAACAGAAAACCACAATTTGATTTTGCACAACTGCAGTCATGAATTTAGCATTTTGGTATTTTATATCCATCATTTATAAAACGTAGCTTTGAATTTAATTTGGTTTCTATTTAATTTAAATATAATTGACAATTTCCACTTATAAAACCAGGGCTCATGGGACAAAGGCAAATAATGGAAACCATTGTTGCTTTTTGCATTGTTATTCTGAAAAAAAAAACAAACATCAAGGACTTTGTGTGCAGAGAAGCACTGAAAATGTTGCTAAATAGCATGAAAAACTTTCAGTGTATCGTCCACAAGGGGTACTTGGGTAACACTGTGTTTGAGCACTTAATTACTTTGTACTATATTTTAAGGTGTCCACACTGATTTTGCAATTAGCATGTGTTGAGAAAAGCCTCTGGGACATCACTGAATATTTTTATCCGGATTCCGCTAATGTAATCAAATTTAAGTGTTAAATTCCTTAGTATTAGATGTCATTCACGAGATGTCTTTTCTCATTGATCAGAAAATACCATGGCAATACCACTGGATTACTCGCTTAACCTACTTTGAATGTGTTTGTGTATTCAGCTAGCTTTTCCCTCTCTAATAGGTCCTCGTCATCAAGATCTGCTGCTTTGGTCTTGGTTTCCTGAGAGTCATCTGTGCCTTCAGTTGTGGTAGCCTCTACAACTGAGGAGCAGTCCAGCAGTATCACCTCCAGAAATTCAATCTGGTAGATTAAAGCAAAAAAAAAAACATTACATGAAACAAATTATACAAAAGGTACTTGACTGTCTCTGTACTGACAATAAGGTAAAACAGCATTCTTCAATAAATAGCCTGGTGAACAGAACAAAATGAGCATTAACAAAAGTTAATACATAAAAGTATGATTTAAAAACATCACTGTACAAATCTTACATTTTAAATTTCTGAATTAACATAAAAGCAAAATGCAGTAAATTGTAAGCTTTGGAGTAAAAAATCAGAATTAAATATATAAGATTTTCTTAACGTATTTCCGGTAGAGCTCGGTCAGCAAACCTGGATCTTTCAAGATCCAGTGGAGAAGCACTTTATCATTTTTTACTTGCATGTGTTTTTAAGGAGGGAAACAAATTTAGATTTACAGGTCTTGGAGACTAGAAGAAATGTGCAGAACAGTTTGCACGAGAGAATTAGGAAGTGGTGGTTTGGAATCAAAACGTAGTAGTTAAATGCAATGCAAGACACTGCAATTTAAAAGAAGAATAAGCCTGATTTTGTTTCATACCTTTATGAAACATTGTCATTAAGTAAGTACAATCATGGTACTAACATTTATTTATAAAACTGCACCACACATGGACCACGCAGCCAAATTAAGGCTGCAGCGAGCAGCAGCTAGGAGGTGTCAGGGCTGTGGACTCGTAACTAAGAGGATGTTTGTTAAGCACCTAAGTGGAGCACAGATGTTGTACTCTTCAGCAAGGTGCTTCACTTAAACTGCTCCATTAAAATACCAGGCTGTATATATCAGTCCACGTGTCAGTTGTTTTGTATAAGCAACCAAATCATTTAATAATTAAAGCCAATATGAAATACTGTAGGAAGGGTATGTAATATGTGAGGCCTCAATAGCTTACTACTTCTCGATCATAAATATCCTGGAATATGACACCTGGACACAGAACAGCTGAAGCTACATTACAAGATAATTCTCATTTCCATAATTATATTTTTCTGATAAAATGAAAATTCACTACATACTGTGTGTGAATGATTATAGGCTTCTCTGAAAACAAAGATAAAACTAAAACTGTGAGTCTTTTTCACTCTGATTTACTCACAAACTAAAATCACAGACCACTGGGGTTTCTGCACTTTACATCTGTCCGTCTAACTTTAAAATATATGACAAGGCTTAGGTTATGCTCATAGGTTTCCAACATCAGCTTCACAGAGTTTGCGATTTCAGTGGTTGTTGAAAGTGCTGAAACCAAACCCTTGATTAAATTTTGAAAGGTTAATGTTCCATTTGACCCTGGGTTTTCATCTAAAGCACATATTAGGAATACCTAATCCTTGTTCTGTTAATATGATGTTGAAATATTGATACACGTCTTACTGAGATTTCTTCTCAAACAGGCTTCAATATATCTCAAGTTCTGCAAACTAGAAGTTACTCTGCTTCAGCACATAATTCACGCCCTCTGTAATTTGTACATGAACTTTAGAATGGATTTTAAGGTTCTCTACCTCACATATAAGTAGTTTCAAGTTTTTTAAAGGATTCCAATGAGTGTAATCTAATCTGCTGATTCAGACCATCTTACTTTGTGAAAAACCAGACCTCACACAATGTGTACAGCACCATGCCTGTAAAACTGCCCAAGCCACTGTCCTGCTGCTACAGCAACTAATTTCCTTCTATAAGGTGTTAAGAACAAGACTAGGAATTTGAAAGAACGGGACTAACACTCAAAGCGCTGCTGTACTTATTCAGCTCAATAAAAACTGACTCTGCACAAGTCTGTCTCCTGCACTTCTGATGAAGAATTTTCCACAGCAGGTTCATCGTCCAGTATTATTTTTTCTTTATTCACAAGTTATCTTTCTACCATTTGGCCTGTACTCACTGCTTGAAAGAATATTTGCAGTTTTTAAATGCTAATTTAAATAAAAAGTGTTTAGAAATTATTCACATGCCTTTAGAAGCCTTGTTTTCTAGCTAGCAAAAATGAAACATTTAAAACTGTAGATAAAACTGACAGTCATTCACAGCAGGAGTAACTGCCTCAAAACCATAGCTTTTCGACCAAATACATAGAACCTTAGATGTGTAGTTTTACATACTTATCAGTAAGAGCCACACAGATTCTTAAGTGTCAGAAAACCCTGCGATGGTTTATATCAAACACATTGATGGAACATGTTGTGGACTTAAAAAAGGTATGGGCTTTGGATTTCTATCATTTTTATAAAAGTTTTAAGGCATTTTAAATTCATCTCGAGCAGAACAGAATTTATTTTTGTTTCTGAAGAAAAAGCTGCTCACATGTATCTATGGGTTAATGTTCTCAATAAGGAAATCTTTATTTAGCATATTACAATTCAGAGTCAATTTAACTGGAAGATTTTGTGAGTACATGACTTAGTAATATACATAGTAACCTCAGAAACATAACTGAAATGTCTTCATTCATTAAACAACAGCGCTAGGTACAAGAATGTTAAAAGTGCAATAAGGTGTTATGACTTCAGCAGCTGACTGGTCAAGGTTAACTACCAGAAGGTATGACTGTGTTCAGGGCAGACAGAAAAAACAGCTTGCCTGTCATATTTGTGGTGCCTTATCTGAATGATTGCACCTCTGTCACATCCATCAGTGCAGTAAATACATTCATAGAACAGCACAGACTAAACAGTTATTTTTAAAGGACAAAGTTCCTTGTAATAAGTTGAGCTTTTATCCTTCAAAACTGAAATTATCACAGCAATGCTACAAATCTCTCTATTAATTGCAGAAATATTAATCTTAAATTAATCTATTAAAGGTAGAATTACGGCACTCCCAGGGAATTTTATAAAAAGTATGGTTTAATAAGATGAAAAGTTAGTTACAGTCTTGCTTTCCTGCACTTAAATCCTTACTGAAATAACACTATTCTGCCCTCAGATCCTGTGTGGGAAGATGCCTGAAGTGGTCTCACAACTTCTCTGCATTTACTTTAAATCACATTAATGTAATCCGCAGATTATGCTGTAGTCAAATTGAATCAATGGTGATCTCTGACGTGCAAGGCCAGTGCTCTCGGGAAAACAGAGGCCAGTCAGGACCCTGTCAGTTTCCCTTCTCTCATTCATGGGGTTTCAGAGATAATTCTGGATGCCTATATAATACCAGGCAAAGAACAAAGCTATACACTGTAATCATAGCCTGCCCAGAAAATGCTTATTTATCCATCATAGCCTGCCCAGAAAATGCTTATTTATCCAGTTATATTCTGATATCAATTTCACACTAAATTTTGTATAATTATGTTTTGTTTCTGTTTCTTTCAAACACCCCACCCCACCAATAGGGATTCATAAATAAGTTAGTAAGAACAACACAATTAAATTACATTTTTATTTCTACTCATTTGCAAAGAAAAGCAACCCGTGACTGAAAAGGCTAATATGCAACAATCTAAAGCACTGTTCATATTTCAAACAATCTCTTAAAGATGTTCTGTAAGGCAGTCCTGATAAACTTAAAACAACTAGGTAAGCAGTATCAATTACATCTTTTGGCTATTTTTGCCAGATGAAAGGAGCAAGAGTACAGAAAAGAAAAAAACAATAAGAAAATTGTTTTAATGACCCTTTGTACTGCTGTGTTTAAATACATTTTACAGTTGTAATACTTTAGGCAAAGCTACTTACCCTATTTTATTTTATTTACCATGACTGAGCTTAAAGTCATAAATTGAAAACATGGCAAAATATATCCTTATTTCTCAACTGTTGCTGCACACAAAATTTAACAAGTACACTTATTAATGAATAGATACACATGTAACATTCTTTATACTGGAGGTATTTTCCTGGTTTAGTGTTCCATACTGGTATAATAATAGAGCCAAGTCTGTAATGACAAATATCTTACTGAAAGTCATCAGTGTATGCATACCCATCTGTTAAAATATATCTCCCTTCCATCAAGACTTCCTGCCTTCTATACAGTCTATTCTTCAGTCTTCATTTATTTCTGCCTCACATTTGCTCACAATTGCCAATATTTTAATTGTGTGACAGATTTGGAATCAAATTACATTTAACCTGAATTAACACAGTCCTCTCAAACAGAATACAGAGCCCATTGTCTCAGCAATTAAACATTAAGTAGTTAATTAAATTGAATATAAAGAGGTCCTAGAGGTGGGTGATATGTCCTGAATTCAAACAGTTATCTCCAGGGTGTAGGACTAATAGAGCACTCTGGATGTCTGCATCTCCTAGAACTTATTTCTCATTTCATATTTCAAGGGCTTTTTGTTATCCCAAACATTGATGTTTGTGATAAATACTCTCTTCAGTCAACATATAAGAGTTTAATTAAAAATAAACAGCTGTCCTTAAAATACCACAAGAGAGGAAGAAAAGCTACAATCTTGTGAAAACTGGTAATCTGGTATTCAATTCACTTCTGCACGTCAGCAGAAAAATGTACAGCTAAAGGCTTATGCTTGTCAAAGCCATAAGGCATGGTTAAACACCATTACATACTATAATGTCTATTTTAACATCCATGGCCTAAGTCCTATTTTGAACAAAGGATCCAAAATACAGAGTGGCACAGTGTTGCAGTGGTTAGTGTTGATGCCTCACAGCTCTCAGGCCCTTGGTTCAATTATTGGGGAGCTATCTGTGTGGTGTCTGCACGTTCTACCCATGTTCACATGGGTTTCCTTCAGGTGCTCTGGTTTCCCTCCACATTCCAAAAAGACACAGGTAGTTTAATTGGCTTCTGCGAAAACTGGCCCTGGTGGGAGTGTGTGCGTGCTACATGTCTGCCTGCCCTGCAATGGACTGGTGTTTCTTGCCAGGGTTAGACTCCGGTTCTCCCGCGACCCTGAATTGGAAGAAGCTTGGAAAATGGATTGATGAATCAAAAACATTTTAAACTCGCAGAAGTTCAGTTTGATTAACTCAATGTTACAGAACACAGAAAAAAGAAGTCACAAAGTATTTCACACTCACTACTTCTTTTGACAGTCTGATATCGCCATGTGACAAAGACACTTTCTCCATCACTTCCAAGGCCCTGCTGAGATAGCCAGACGTCCACATCAGTGGCATCTGATGGAAGACAGCATGGATTCCTTTGCACAGTTCCACTTTACCTGAAGACAAGGCAGCAGAAACAGTTTGTACACATACTGCTTCCTTTCAAATTAGTATAATTTCACACATTAAGGCAGAAACCAGCTAGGTGCAGTTTAGGAGCCAAACATAACAAATTGGTCAACTCTGTAAAGGTCCTTCCGAAATAAATCTGCCAAGCTGGAGTACTATATAGCACGTCTGAATACATGCTACTTAATGAACAGTATTAACTATGTCTTACACAAGAAATAATCTAAACAAGCATGTGGAACTGTTGTATTTTAAACTTTTTTAGACAAATCCTTGTCCTAATAAATTCTCTCAACTAATGTTTCTAAGATGCTTGTGGTAGGATTGCATAATAGGGTAACAGGACATGCATAGGGACACACACATGTATCTGAGATACAGATACTTTATAGTTACGAACATTATTTATTTTAATAAATAATAAAGTAAAAAATAAAAAATATATTTTTGTATCATAAAAATATCATTTCAAAACATCTCCTAAACCTGACAGTTGAAAGGATATTAGGTTATTTTACAACATGAAAGTGTTCATTATTTTGTGCCCTTATCAAACACAAGAGAATCAAAGAGAAAGGCTCAACAAGGCACCGAGAAGAGAGTAGCCAAGCAGTTGGGAACTGAAGCCGACGGTGTTCTCCTGTTTCATAGCTGCAATCAGAAACGCGGCCCCAAGGTTTCTCTCCTGTTCCCACTGGAGGGACACAAAAAAGTGCGAGTTGGAAATCAGCCACGTTCATGATTAATCAGACTAGCTAAACAAAGCTGATAAAAAGCATCAAACAAAAGTGTAACCCAGCAGTGGAACAGTGATGATAACAAAGGGAGGTCATCTAATTCTTTTTTCAGCTTTTTAAAGCTGCTTAAAAAAATTGTCAGTTGAAAACATGCAAGCATGGAGTTGAAGGAAAATAAAATGTTTTTCACAACAGGACATAATGCTTTCAATACCGGTACCCACAAAAGCATCAGTGCCTTGGAAAAAATAAAATTATATGATAACATAACACTCATAGAATCGGAGAAAACTAATTTTCTCAAACCATTACTATGGAGCCTGGTGAAGTTTGTATCGAGTAAAAATTCCATCATTTTTACACAAAGCCTTATCATTTTTCCATGAATAATAAGTTCAAGTGTTCTAAATATATGATTTGCTGCCATAAACAAAATGTACTCTCTCTTCAATACAGGACTCAAGCATTCCTAAATTGCAACTCGCAGAGAAGCTGAAGATAGCTAAAGTCCTGTTGCCTTTCTGTTTTTCCCTGACCCCATTAAAATAAGGCTATTACAAGACTATCAACTCTTACAAGAAGGTAGTTAGAAATGCAAACTGAGATAAGCTATCACATGCTTTATCACTTATCACACAAGCAGTCATTGTGTGCAGCTTCACACTTAAAATAAGCATGATTTGCTTTTTGTAGTAACACAAATATGATGTTGTGTCTTTATAATTTTCACAAATCTGTAATCACAATACCTTTGAAACAGAATTAAAAAGATTCAAAAAAACATACTCATTAAAATAATTTCCTTAAAATACGTGTTAAATATAATTTACTAGAGACAGCCACATGATCAGAATCTTAATTACCTTGAATTCAGGCTTGGTTTCTAAATACTTGGTCAGAGCGTGTAGTGACAAAATCTGAGTCGAGGGCAGATCAAAAGCCTCTTGCAACATCACTTCCACCACCACAGAGAAAGCACCTGCAGAATGAAATATCTTTTTTTTAACCCAACTCTAAACCAACAGCATTGCAGACCAACATGAACCTCACTTATTGGAAATAAGGAGGTACGGAGCCTTCATACCTGTTTGAAATGGTAATATGTAAACAGGCCAAATGCGCATAGCACAGTGAGACAGACCCCTGTTAAGGAATCCCATGCTAGAAAGCTCTTTATTATGGTATGGGGTAGCCATTCAGACCACCCCAATGCTCTTGTTAGTGCAACATTAGCTATGAGCGACATGCCTCTCGTCTAGCAGGAAGTGCTGTTCCTTTTGCACTGGGCTGCGCAACCCGAGACAGTGTTAAAAGATGAATGACTCAAAGGTTGGGGCGTCTGAGAAATCTGACTACTTCTTCTTCTGTCTCGTGTGTGGTTGTTGGTCTTTGTTGATGGGATACAGCAAATAATAGTTAGCAATCCTAATTTTTTTTTTAAGTTTAAAATTAGATCTAGTAAGAGATCATTTATTTTCTACATTGTATTAAATTCCGTTGCACACAAGCAGGTTTCTAACTTCCCACCTCGTTTAATCACTAGATAACACATATACTGTATGGCAGAGCCAATGACAGAAAAATGAAATATTAACGTAAAGGATCACAAAGCATTTCCCCCAGGAGACTTTGTAAGCGTAAATCATTTACAACACTTGTATCTCCCATGAGTGTTACCTTCATAATCTTTATCCTTTAAAAAGGAATCCATCAGCAAATTAAATGTGAAGTCATCTGGAAATATTCCATATTGCACCTTAAATAAAATTGCAGGAAATAAAAAAAACTGTCAAGCATCAAGCCAGCAATTAACAGGAAATTATTAAGTTTAGTTTAATATTATTTGAGACATTTTTTACTAAATTGTCAAAAAAGTACTCATGTCTCTTTAGTTAAATATGTTAAGGTAGGGGTATCTGGAACAGCAGTAAGAAGCATATATTAAAAAGTATTTGTTTCCATTTTAGTCATAAAATGAAAAGAATTCAAAGAGAAAGAAGAACAAAATAGTTAATTAAAACATTTTCCCAGGATACACAGGGTTACTTTCAAAGGAGGAGCAGAGACACAAGGACACAGGAAAGCATGTTAAGAAAATAAAAAAACTTTACAGTTTGCTTATGAATTAACTTCCACATGTTGATACAAATTATTTTGGCAATTAATATGGAGAACATGATGGAATGTATGTTGCTTGAGATGGTACTTAATGTTATGAGCATCATCTGTTTACTTCATTAAAACTTGTATAAGATGAATCCAGTTATACAGCAGAGTAAAATGGTGTGTCAAGGCATCAGCAAGATATGGCACAATCACAGTATAAGCAGCCTTCCGAGAGTCAGGATGTATAAATACTGTCCCATTGATTTTCACACAAAACTTTTAAGTGAAATACCTCACGTGGAAGTTTCAGTCACCTTTACCTTTCTTAAGTGAGTTTAAAAAAGAGTTGCGGTCTGTGCCTAGACTCAATCATAGAAGGATCACTATCTCCAGGAAAACAGCCTTTTCTGTAGTAATCTTTCATAACGCCAACTGCACCCAAATCAGTGATGCAAGAAAAGCAGGAAACCATCTCAGTTCTAGGCTGGTTCTATTCCACAGTGAAGTATTTGTGGCCAAATGAGAAGAAAAGTGTTAGATTAGGACTCTGTCAGTCAGTGCATTGATGGAGGACCAAGAAAGAGTGCATTCAGACAGGTTCGGACTGAGAAAACCAGACAGGCTCCGGTAATTTCTACCAACCAAGAAAGACAGAGGAAGCCTTGGCAGGACATCTGTGGAGTGAGAGAAAATCTTGTGGTTGTTCTCCCGGAGGGCAGTGGTCATGACAGGCTCACAGAAATGGGGAGCAATGAAGAACTGAGAGTCAGCTGGAGAACACACAGGAAGAGGAGAGGAAGTTCTGCACTTACAGTGACCCAGAGGCAGGACAGAGGAATGACAGAGATGTTTCCTTTGCCCACGACTCTGGGCTGAGGCCTGAGGGCAGTGCTGCTTTCTCCGCAATACAATGAGATGAGTGAAAGGAAGATGCATGAGAAAATCACATAGAGAAAATGGAGAAGCTAGGGGTAGGGACCACAAAGTGAAGATTCCTGCAGGGAACACAATCCCAGACAAACTGGGAGGGATCAGAGAGTTCTGCCTGTAGAAGTGCAGACAGGGCAAAGAGGATATTAGAGGAGAGGGTTCATACCCCCAGATCTGCCCCTAAGAGGCATGAGATGAGTGCGTGACTGCTGTTGGTCAGCTATTCCAGAAAAGAGACTAAGAGATGTTTAGACTGTTTAGAGGAAGCATAAATCCTGCTGTGCCAAAGACAGACAATCCCGACTGTATGGCGCCACTTTTAATCAAGTCATTAGACCTTATTTGCTGTCCTTCCTGGAGGCTCACCATGTTATTGACAACACTGCAGCAGGTCAGCACACATCCTCTTGCAGCACGTGTAACAAAGGATAGATGCAAGATGAGAATGTGACAATTATCTCATGGATGCTCTGCTCCCCAGACCTGATACCCACTGAATATTAATTGAATGAACCAGGATGACATGTGAAATCGAAGGGCTCAGAGACCACTGGAACAACACATTCTAGTTCAGACTCTGAGAGCAATAGATACATAATCCCATAAAACAGCATCTGCAACCTGGTGCAAAGCATGCATCACAGGTGTACAGTTTGTTATTGTTTCCAGCAGTGGCAACACATGCTATATGACTGTGACTTTTACAGTACATCCCCTGTTGATCAGCCCTGTTGGTGTCAAATGTTAATCTGCATAATGAATTCACCCAGCCAATATCGAGTCTGTTCAATAAAATGTCAGGGCACCTTCTACAGAAAAGAAAGTTTGCTAATTGCTTTTATTAAGTGACAGTTATTAAGCCATGTTTCTTTTGAGGCTGAGTATATTAATGACCATATCCTTACAAAAAAAAAGGATGAAGAAGATAAAGCTTCATAGGTGACAGTTTAATATGGCATTGTATAATATGGTTTAATACAGTTTAATATGGTATACAGGGAAAAGTACTTCTAAAATAGGACACGAAAGACACCTTTATACTATTTATGTCACAACATAAACATTTCATATCAAAATGGAAAGGATTCCAGACAATCCTCAACCACAGACTGCTGAACCTGTAGGAATTTAACAAGGGATTGGAGGGAATGAACACCAGTTTGTGCAAACTGCTGAGGACTATGAAGTGCATGTCTCTCTGAGGAGCTGGAATGAGATGGTTTAACCATTTCATGGCATCCAGACCTCAGCATTCCTCAAGTATTAAAGAAAACAAAATGAATCCCTGTCACTCAATGAAAGAGTTCTTCAAATGTAACACTGTAACTGGGCCCAGAGGAGGGCATACCCTAGTTCTGGTCCTGGTAACCAGAATAATGATCAGAACTTCTGCCCCTAAGACAAATTAAACTTTAAAGTATCTTATGAATATTTACAGATAAAAGCTCTGGCAAAACTAGTGATTTAAATTCAGACAGAACGTATGGTCTAAAAAGACCTAGCTAGAAACTGCATTCTACAATGTGTAGGACTTTGATTTTGTTCCTAGAAACTGTACAATACCTTATTCTTCAGGGTGTGTAGTGCCTTGTCACGGGCCTCATACTTCAGACATTGTCTAACCCAGCTGTGCGTGGTCCATTCTCTGAGGTACCAGCAATTTGGACTATGACGAAACCTAATCGCATTAGGGGGAAAAAAAAAAACAATGTGTGAATCCCATTAATATTAGACAAAATGATATTAGACCAGAAAATTATTGTTAAATCCTACATTTAAAGCACCTGAGTAATGACAACAAGAATTGGCAACTGATGGCTTCAGCCTTCTACCTTTGCAACAGAATTTAGCATGTATTCATTTGCCAATTAACTGAAATCATAGCTGTCCACTCGGGCTTCCCCTCAGATCTGTTAAGTTTTTATTTTATTACATAAAATGTTGCTCTTAGGAGCAAATTACAAACCTTTAAAAAAAAGATACAGTATATGAATTCCCCACACTATAAACAACCCAGTGTAAGCCTTCAGAAGTATTAACAAGGAGGGTCTTCTGCTTTCACATCTTACTAGAGCATGCATCAGGGGTTTCTGGAATAGCACTGAAAATAATATACAACTACATCATAAATCAGGTCTCCCCAACCTAGTACTGGGGACCACAGCGTCTTTCAGCTTGTGTTCCAGATACTTCGAATTCAAATTAAGCCTCACAAACTAAACTGTTTGCTTAATTAAGCCTTAATTATTTTTCATTCTAAACAGTTAAAGGTTTTAGGTCACCAAGTAACATTTATGAATGTACCGAAATACCTAAAGATTTATAAACTGAAAGCAATTAGTTTATATTCGTTTGTACAATCAGTACAATGAAAGGCACAGATCTCAACTGTAAATAATCAGAGGCCACTGAGGTCTGTTTAAGAGCAAGTTTAGGAACTCCTGGTTTAAACATCAAAGCACAATTTAAAGATCACAACTCTCAGGTTTTCCCACTTTCACAAGCATCACAATGCCTCCTTTCTTGAGATAACTAGATACTCAAGTGCACTGTACCACCCATTATTTTCACAATTTGTAGTTATGTTTTTGTGTTGTAGACATTGAGAAAAAATAGATAAAGAGATCTAAAAAAAAAATGCCCAGAATCATACACCAAACAATAGGAAGAAAAATCAGTCTATATAACAGGAATTAAAGGTAGGACTCTGTGCAGAGCTTCATTTAACTGGGAAACTGTCAGTTGATCACAAAGGTACGAAAGCAATGATAACGCAAAACAATGCTTTCACTTTTGATCCTGGTGTTTTTAGTTACTTGTTTTAATTGGTTTCAGTGATGAAGATAATGGTAGTTTCTGTATAATCACTTTTTGAAAAACGAAGGCCTTGGCGTCATTCTGCACCCCCCAGATGTCATTAATAATCCAGCGTTTTTAGCTTGGCCTCCGATAGGTTGAGAGCAGAGCACAAAGCGATGGGGTGAGCTGCTGTTGCTATGGCAATGCAGGAATAAGATTTCCCCAGGAGTCTGGTGATGTGCTCGATATGGGTTTCTCACTCAGATTTACAGCCATGATTTGCAACTGTTAAAGTTGTTAAACTTTATTTCCAACTTATCTGACTGTGTAATATTACCCATTAGATGTGTAAATGCTGTTTCATGCTTTAGAAAAACAAACATCATATCCTAACTCACATCTCTTATTCACTGTCTTATTCTGAAATGAGACCTAATTTATTGTCTGAATAGGAAATAGCATGTTACTGCAACGCCTGTCAAACACTCAGTTGTGCTATTCAAATCTGTGAAATTGTAACTAAACTAAAAAATAAAAGCACTTGTTTAAAGCAAGGCTTGATGATATTAGACCTTGTAAATGACATGCTTTAATTAATTCAAATGACTCATTACCCAGAATCTCTGCTTTATGCAGTGCAAAATTAACAATTATCTTCACCAACATGCTGGGAGATCACACTGCATATACCTATTTATAATAAAAAATAATAAAAAATCATTTTATTCTTCACAGCTCAATTAAGACATTTTAAACAAAGGAGGACAGTAATGTAAATGTCCTTTAACTCTGGTTATAAATAATTATACTTGTAACCTAACCTTAAAGCTAACTGGTACAAAACAGAGACAAAAGAGTGGTATCTGGCTTTCAAAGTGCAATTTATGCACACTGTCTTCCATGAATACAGTTTTCGGAACTGAAGACCATCTGAGGGGCTCACACTGGCACACCATGTGAAACCACTCCAAAACATGCGTTAGACATGCTTCGCGAATTGGACACTGAGTTGTTTTGAGTGTGTGCCAAGTTAATGGTCTTGGCTGAAGAACCATGGAAATCACAAGATTGGCATTCACTCTCCCATGGTAAATTAACAGTGGCTGATTTGCCTCAGTACACCATAGAAACCATTACGGAACAGGCAACCTGATGAGTGGCCCTGGGAAGAAATGCTACTGAGCTCAGTTCTCAGCGGCTTCACCTGTCTGATCTATTTGACCCACTATTCTCATACAGTGTGGATATGCTCTTTTACTAACATATGTGTTGAAAAGGGAGAAAATGTTTACTCCAAATAATGGGGAAAAAAATAAGCCAAAAAACTTTCTGGCTATTAATCTAACAGAAGATTTTCCTTTCCTTTTCTGAAATGATGACCCAATATTAATGAAGTACCAACACAACACATACACAAAAACAGACGTTTGCTGTACAAACTTTGTGTTTAAAATAATCTAATGCATTAAACCTCCAATGTTGCTTAATATGAGCTGCTTTTAATCAGTTACATTAATAAGCTAGGGACGTGACAAGAAATTACAACATCAATATATTTAAAAGGTCAAAAGAAGCACTATAAAGCATATAAAATAAAGTAATATTTAATGCATTGCACATAATGCAAAAATGACAAAACTGTTTTCCATTCTTTTAGCAATTGTTCATGACATCATGAAGAAAGGACTTCAAGTACCATGATATAATTAACAAAATTCTAATTAATATTCTAAAAGGGACTCTTTCATTGTAAGCAATTATATATCCCATTAATACTTTGAACATTCCATTATGCAAATGAAATGACCAATAATTTTAAAAACAAGAGCTCAGTGGTACCAGTGAGTAAGTGAGTCTGCATACTTATAGATAAGAAATATTGCACTTCAGCTTTAGACATACTGTATGCTATGTGTACTTGCTCAGTATCTGAAAAACACTGTCTGAGCACACATTTAAATAATCTATTTTATTGGAACTGATGATTTTCAGTTTTGACAGGCAACTGGGAGTCAAATATCATTTAATACAGTCCAGCAGGAAAAATGTGCTCATATTTAAATTCTTCTGAATCTTCCATAGATTTCACACATCATCTTACTATGGATGGTAAACAATTACTATATGCTAAAAGGGTCAAATGTCAGTTATACTAATAAAAAGTGATCTCATACTGGAGAGAATCCATTTAGTCTTGAAGCAGTAATTGTAAAGTCAACTCAATTAACTTGTTCAGGTTCAACAGTGGAAAAACAAGTGGAAACTACAAGGAAGTGCATCTAAAACTGTAAAAATAGAAAAAGATTTTTTTTTCCCCCACAAAGTGTTGTAAGACTTTCAAGCAAGCTAACCAGCCATCTTGTCAAAACGGGCTTCTTTTAAGAAACAACTGCATGACATTCTTCAATTTGGCAACTAAATGGCCTCCTCTCATTTGTAATCTCTCCTATGTTTTTTATGTTTAAAGGTTATTTTCCTTTAAAATGAATTTAAGAGGGAACCATTAGTCCACACTTACAGAGCAAGGATGTTCTCTTTTTTTCCTCTTCCCGACCCACATATACTGTAAATATAGTACTCTATCTTGTTTATGAGAGGCCTCTGAATATAGATGACGAATTTTCATTAAAAAAAGAAGGAAGCCAGTGAAAGGAAAAGGCACACAAAAACTAGCAATAATCAAGTCTTGATTATTTTTAGGGTGTATGTTTTGTGTTTTTGCATATCTCTGAAAATAGAGAGAATTATGGCAGATATTTTTTAATGAAATCACCAGTCACTAACATTTACATCAAAGTATTAATTAAACTATGTATTACATGTGCATAACAATTTGTAGATTTTTTAAAATTAAATAAGATGATTATATAAAAGTTTATATGAATCACATTATTTTACTACTTGAAATGTTATACAAAATACTGAAAACCTGTTACTGAAGATAGAAATGTCATGTCCTTTTTCAGAAACTGACATCATGACATCATGTTGAGGGAGGCATACAGTATGCCTCCAAATTACTGGCATATAGAAGACAAGACAGATGTCACCCAAGTAGGATATCACCAGTACTGAGACCTGCCCTTGACACTGTACCAATAGCAGAAGCGAAATTAAGGTATTTTTGTATGCTCTCCTACTTAAATTAGTTACATATTAAAACTGCTGCTCTACTTTTAATATGTGTTAATGTTGTTTTCCTTCACTCCCTTCTAGCATTCAGTCTTTTACAATGAATCCACATTTCATCTTTTAATGAAGTTCTTCAATACAAGATAATATATGTATGGTTTCATTATCTTTATTTACAGATTTGTTTTTTGCAAGGGTAGTTATAGATCACTTTATTAGCTTGCATTATCTTGCATTAGGAATTTGTCTTTTCGCATACCCCAGCTTGCTCTCTACGAGACACACAGGCACACAGACAGGGAGAGAGAAGCTTGGGGTTAGAGCGCAGGGTCAGCCATTTATACAGCGCCCCTGGGGCAGCATGGGTTAAGGGCCTTGGTCAGGGGCCCAACAGAGGAGGATTCCTCTGCAGGCTTCGGGATTTGAACCGGCAACCTTCCAGCCACAGGCGCGGATCCTTAGCCACAGTTCCACCGCTCCGCCCATATAAAAATCTTAGTAGCTGATGCTTGTGTCACAGCCAGGTTTAGACATGATTCTGCTGCCTCAGATATTGACTGAAAATAAAATTAACTCTTGGGTACTACGGACCCTTCAGAAATCATTTTACAAAGCCTCTACTGCCACTCTCGTTATCAGTCAGACACTAGTCTAGACATCATTTCAGGTGCTCTGTATTAGTCTGGCAGAAGTCTGGACTTCTTTACTTTTTGACATTTTATCAAGTTCATTTTAACCAGTCCACGCACTCTGGCTGTTTTTTCTGACAATCCCACAACAGCTGAGGAAATATAAAATCCACAGTGTGGGCACAAAGAGGATACTGAGTCGCCAGGAGACAGGATGTGAATCCATAAGTTAATGGCAATCAAACAAGAACTGGGGTTTATATTTTCACATTTTTATACAGGAATAAATGAGACAGCAATCCATACTTACTTGTACAGATAATACTCCGCATGATCAATCTCTTCTCTTGAGGATATGTTGTCAACAAACTGGAAAGACAAAAACAATTGAAACATCACTGTGAATAAAATCAAAAAACTTTTTTCATACCTTAGTACCATGCTACATATATAGGATATTGCACACCAAAACAATAAATATGAACAAAAAAATCACTGTAGAACTCTTTAAAATCTGTCTGTCTTTCCACAAATTAGATACAAATCTATAATATTAACAGTAAAATTAAATTACAGTTAAATTACTGCACAAATTATTTTTATTTCTTTTTACTTCTAACAACACCCTGCCTTCTGATGCACTTCACATCAAACTTTCTTGTTATAGGCCTTTAGAAAATGGTTACTATATCTTAAAAAAGGAATATGATATATCAAATATTTTCTAGACTACAAACACTATTCTTTCTATTCAATTTGCTAGCAAGAAAAGCCTTTAGATTGAAGGTGAATATATAACTTGTTGTTTATATGCAGGGTGGCTGTGCTGTGACACGAAAAAAAGAAAAATGTAGTATTAAGAAAATTTGAACTGGAACCTGCAGTGAGGAATGGCATTTGAGTGAATGTCTGTGAGTGTATAAATTGTAAGAAGCAGGTGCTGAAAAAAAATCAGGTGGCAGAAAACTTCTTCCTGGGCTGACCATCTGCTGGTCTGTAGCATGAAAATATTTCATTTTAGTTGCTGATCCTCATGACTCAACCATAAGGTCAAACATTTATTCATCAAGTCAGCTAGAAACTAAAAGAAACTAGTTTATATCCATCACTTTTCTTACAGGGCCTAAGTGCTTTTATAGTTAAGACTATGAAATATTACAATGCTCCCTTTTCTTCTCAAAGTGTTGTGCAAGATCAGAAACAAACGAGCAAATGAAGGCAGACGTTTTGTGCATTCAAAACAGGAAGAACTATTTTTAAATGTGTGTGTTATTTATCACCACAAATCCACAATGATCCAATTTAATTTCCCTCAAGAAAAAAAGGAGAAGACGCTTTTCCTGGTATCCAGATTAGTAAATATGCCTTGCTGTGTTTCACTACGAGCCAGACAACACCTGGCAGTTTGGAGGGTTTTCATAAGAACTCAACTGGGCCAAGACGACAGTGACAGCTGGAGGTCAGCCACATTTGTCTGGCGGCATGAGCTCAGGGAAACCTGCCTGAGTGCAGAAAAGCAGACACATCAAAGCTGCCTGGGAACTGCCTTCCCAGCACTCCCTCCTGCATGATAAATTATGTCTCTAATGGCTGGCCCATGCGGTGCTGCACAGCGCCAACTACCAGCACAGCGAATCAGGCTGACACATCAGAGGAGAGTGTCAAGGTCGTGGGCTGTATCCTGGAGCAAGGCATTATTTTTACTTCTACATGAACTTATCCCTCTGAAGCCCAAAACCCCCAAAACGGCAGTTAATCGATATTCTGTATTGTCCCAACGAACGAAGTTTAGAATGAAGTTCTAATCAAGTTTATTTCTCCATTTGTATTACTTTGTGCAACAAATCTATACAAAAGAATTCAAATCAAATCAAACTTTATTTATTAAATGCACAACAATACAGCATGCAGCAGTAGTTGCTGGCAATGAAATGTCTTTTCGACGAGCTCACCAGGGGGGTGAGTAAATGTGGGTTGGGAGAGGCATCTGGCTCACTTTTTCTGCTGCTTCTTCAGCCAGGTATACTGTAGGTACAGTTTTTTTCTTTTTCTAAAAAAGAAACCAGCCTCTTATTTCATCAATTCCTTTTGGACATTCAAAGCTATGAACCCATAATCATCAGTGCCTGCAGAAAGATCCATTTTCTGTATTTTTTATCACTGTCTCCTGCACACTTTGGAGATGTTGGGATCCGGTCTGACTGTGCTCACAATTACTAATCGGACATGCTACTCCGATTTTGTCACAGTCTGCTGCAAGGATGTAGTCTGTCCTATCTCAAGTCTGGGCTAAAAATACCTTCTTTGTCTGCACTGGTAAAGGCAAAACTTACTTTTCACCACAGAGATCTTGCTGCTGTAAAAAATGTGCTACTTAAAGATCTCACATTTGTACTTATAAAATTGTCAAGTTCACTTATTTGTCGTAGTTAACAAAAAATATATATACATCAGCCAATGCTTTCTGTATCACTAGGAGTTAATAACATTTTATCAAAAAAATATAAATATATTCTATAATAAGAGTATAAACAAGTAGGATGATTAAAAACAAACTACTAGTTTTAAAACAAACTACTACTTTTAAAACAAATTCAAAACAAAATTCAAATACTTAAATTGTGATACCTGTGACAGGACAAGGCAACTGTAGGATTCTTTACATGTATTTGACTAACTGGACACACTGTTAGGGACACAGCTGAGTATCTTGGGTCCCACCACCAAGTCCTGCACCTCTTACCTTTACTTTTTTCCATCAACTTCTGTGCATTAGCAAATAACTTCATCTTTATAAAGACTGGATCTACTCAGCAAATGCTTTCAGTCTCACTAGAAGTCATTATCCATACATTGGAAAGGATCTATCATTGTGTCTACCGGGGAATATTATATAACTTAGATTCACAGATGTATTTTGCTGACATAGCAATGCTTTAATCAATGGCTCAATTGTTATGTTTTAAATGTAAAAAAGAATTGAATTCCCATTAAACTTATTGCTGTTATTTGTACGTAGACATGCACAGATACAGATACGTGGGATTCTGGTCACGGCTTTAATTACAATAACCCATGAAACTGTAACTCTTATTTAAACTCTTATTTAAACTGTAATACTGTAGGTATTACAGTTTATTACAGTGTATTACAGTTTACCTAAACACCCTGGTATGGATTTAAGATAATGTTAATGTTAAAATATTCTGGTTGCACCTCTATATTAAGGTTAATATAGACAAAGAACTATACATAAAATATACACATATAAACAAATAAAGATTAAAAGCTTTTCATATCAATTTTAGTACGGTATAATATTCACATCCATTTCTATAATTTTGGCAATAGTCTAATGGCTGTTGCTTTTGACTCAGAGTTGGCCTTCTTTATGATTTCATTCTTAAAACAGTGCTGGTCTGAAATGAAAGACTCAATACACTGTCAGCAGAATGTTAATTCAGACTTTATGTACAGTATGCTTCAGCATGTGCAGTAACATTCATTTTTTATTTTATTTTATTTACCCTCATCTCTATGATCGAACTGAACTGCTAGAATTACTCATCCTGAATATGTACTTTTTTCACTGATTCCTTGCATTTATGTTTTATTTTATAGTTTTCCCAGAAAATACTCAAAATTACATAATCGGACAAATACAATAAAAACAATCCTATGGATTTATTACTATAGAACAATTATTCCCCTGGGTTACCACAGAATCAATCTTGAGACATTATGCACATACTGTAATTTATGTGTTGCTTTTAGAACACAATATACTGTAAGAGTCCTGTTATAAGCAAAGATGGACTTAAGTGTATTTATGCAGTACGGGCAATTAATGATTTGTTTTTGCTGAGTTCTTCTTCTACAGTGCTTATCTGGGAAACTAAAGCATGATCTTTTTTACTTAGTAAAAATGAAAATCACCCTCCAAACGAAAAGGCACATTTTAGAACTATGCAGTATGATTACAATCATTTAAAGAACATCTTAGAATTAACTGCATAGTAAACCATATCCATAAGTATTCATGCTAAACTAATACTGGATATACAACAACACAAACAGAAACAATTTCAGGATTTTCAGCTATTCGTCAAAATCAAAAGCCTGAAAAATGGCAACATTCTATTTTTACAGTGACAAAATGTTTTAGAGAGTTCTAGTTAATACACTATACACATTCCTGGTGCATTATAATTACACAGACAGTTGTTTTCAATACAATATTTTTAATCAAAACCGAAAGCCAAAAATGGGTTCTTTGTACAAAAAAAAGTTAAAATCACCATCTCAATGAGAAAGGCAGAAGGTCTTGAAAATGTGTCTAAGAAAGTGAGCTGTTATCCTAGTCCAGGAATTAGTTTTTATAGGTTCCCATTAAATCACCAATGTCTGTATATATGGAATAATTCCACTGTGACCACTTCAATGTTACAATAGGAAACAATGTCAGTTTTTTATCAATGTAAAAAAAGGTTTATAGCCCAAATATCAAAGGGGAGACCCGATTAAAGAAAGGGAGGCATAAAATGCCCAGTGGAAGGAGGGTGTTGAAGATTTGTTCTATCAAGAATCCACTGTCAACGAGAGTAAATTTCATCCCACTCACTCAATTGGAGAAGAGCTTGGAACTCCACTACCACCTAAACAGGTGATGAAAGCTACCATACAGATGAAAAAAAAAAACAAGGAAAATGATAGTGATGTATTTCCAGCTGAATATGTAAGCATGGTAGACCGAAACTAACACTGTACCTCCACACTCTGAGCACACAGATCATGAATGAAGACAAAAATCCAGCTGTAGAAATTTTTCTTTGCTATCTACTGAACAGAATCCCCGTGTAAGTTCTCACATTTAAGACACACATCTGATTTTTACAGTCTAACAATTAGTTGAAAAACACTGCAAGTAATGCCAGCAATGAATGCAGCAGGTGTTTTAAGGACTGTGACATCAAAACTCACAGCAAACTGAATGGTCTACTATTCAATCCTCATTCCCATCGTACTGTATGGGAACGAAATGTGGATAGTATACAGGACATTCTTAAAAGAAATGAAGTTTCTCAACTTCTCTCTTTGCAGAAGAATTCATGTATCAATAGGGAAGATGGAGCACATTCAGTGCTCTCTCTCAAACAGGCACAGCAAGCATTGATTAACTGCTTCATCTGCAATCATCCCAATTGGTTTAGTTATGTTAACATCAAACAGCTAGTAGTATTAAAACATAAGTTAAATTGTATGGTCCATTTAAAGGTATTAGGTAATTATGTGAATAGATCGTGCCCTGCACATACTCATTTTATCAACAATAATTGTCAGAGCTTTCATTTGTCTTACCCGTGCTATGGTTAAGGAGCTGACAGGCAACTTCCTCTCATAAGTCTTGTCCATTAGAAATGCTAATTCAGCTGTGGAGAAAATAACATTCAGATAAGAAAGAGCTGGATAATTAGACAGTGGTAAACTGATTACCTCTTTTCTTTTTAAATGAAAAACACCACTTAAATATACAAACTAGTGCCATTAATCCAACCCTTGATTCAATAAAATTATTCCTGTCCATGTTGTTACGATTTCCTTATTTTATTACCTGAGAGAAAGCTACCCTTCTCAGGGCTGCTTTGTTTAAAACAAAAGATAAATTAGTACTATTCATTATAGTTTAAAAGAGAAAACAGAGTGACATAATTAAGAAAACGGGCAGTCCTGATCCTTTACACGATTGTTTAGAATACTTTATATGATACGCTTAGTCATTCCTCTGCGTTTAAAAATGTAGTTTTATGTATCCACTGAAACCAAATAAAGATTTTCGCAGACTGATGCAATACTTCTAAGATATTAAGATCCTCAACATATGAAAAAAGCTGAGCTGTATAAATGACCAAAATAATATTTTTAATAAAAACATGACGATCAAAATATTTTTCTGCTGTGCTGTATTACTTTGTTTTCTAAGCTTCAGACATCCATCCAACTTTCTTATGGTAATTCAGACTGAGCAGCCGAGTCATGCTTCAAACACAAAGTGATAAGAATTTTGGCTTTCTATTTTATTCCATCAGTGGATCTGGTCTCATGTTAAAAGGAATATGAAACAGCCTGATCATAAAAGTGAATAACTAAGATTTGCCCCCTCTCAACTAGGTGGTCTGCTTCTTATGAAGATAAAGTTCTTCTCCTGCCATCTTCCAGGAAGGTGGAACCACAGAGATTTAACCTCTTTTGGACTTTCAAACATCAATTCTGCAAACCTGCCACACTGGATAACAGGCAATATGGAACCTCGTGTTGTAATCAGGCTTGCCATTATTACAATAACTTCCACAGGAAAATGAAGAATGTTTCCTCTACGCCTTTTTCTTTCTTTTAAATGTTATGGGTTTAACAAATGAGAAATTCACTGAAGATGTTAATAAACAGCTGAATAATATTAATTTTGTAATAGTTCAGGTGGGTAGCTGCGTCAGCATGTGTAGGCTGCAAAGGAACAAGCAATAGGTTTATTCCATGCTGAAAAAAGAAGAAAGAAAACACAACATTTTGGCTTTCTTCAGGTGTGAGAAAGACAAGGCGGTAAGCAAAGGTAATGTAGCGGGAGAACTAAAGCTGGGAGAGAGGAGGAGCGAGAGGCGGGAGCAGGGGACAGAAAGAGAGGCCAATCAAGAGGTGTGAAGTCAGAATAGGTGTATAGAGGTGTGAAATGAAACCTACAATGAATAGAGAGAATTTAGAAGAAAAGTAGTCTGTCGTTAAGAGAAGGGGGAAGGTGTGATCCTAGCTGCAGGATAATTTTGGATTCTGTAGTCTTTCTGATGTATGAGTTCGGAAAACCGTCTTTGAGAACACAGACGGAGAGATTAGTGTGGTCGTGGCCGTCAGAGGTGAAATGAGAAACAATGGGCTTGGAGAGGTCTTTAATCTTCACAGCCCTAACATGTTCTCAGAAGAGGTCTCTGAGTCTCCTTCCTGTTTCTCCAATGTAGATGGCTGGGCATTTACTGCAAGAGAAACAGTAAATAAGGTTGCTGGAAGTACAAGATGCCATCTGGGTGATCCGGATAATTCCTTAATTTTTTAATGTTAATCAGTCTTTTTGGTGCTCCCTTGTGACCCTGAATTGGATGGGTGGATGGATGAATGGGTGGATAGCTTGATGGATGGTCTCTGGTATACTATACTAAGCCACAATCTGACCCTAACTTGCACTTAAAATAAAGTAGAAAAATCTTAAAGGTTATTAACATTACCAACACCTTTCAGTATCAGATTGTTGTGCTTCTTAAACCATGCCTATGATTTTGCCAATGATGTCTTCACCGGAATGACATAAAATCAATGTCTACATTGATACATTTACAGTTTTTCAACACTGGATTTACAGATTCCTTGAGGAATAAATTACAAATAGTTTACTCCTCTGACTAAATTCTGAATTTTGTGGCATCATTTCAAGTGATGCAAGTGAGGATTAGTGAAATCCACACAAGCAAGACCTTTCAGCAAATTTACTATTACATTGAGGAGAAAATTCTAGGACATAATGTGCCAGTGGTATCTGAGAAAATGGCCTCACTGGAGAAAATTGGACAGCTTGGACAGATTAGAAATGATTAAATACAGTGGAGAAGAAGCTACACACTAATACACACACACACAAATTTGTCTAACTTATCAAGAACTGTTAAAATGGGGTTTGTGACAGATAATCAATTAAGTAGAACTTAGGCACTTATGTTTAAAAAATAAAAATAGGACAATGTTCATGCTGAATTAGAGGGGAAGTAAACTCGCAGTTATTAATTTCTAGTACCAATAAAGCAAATAATTCATTAACTACTGTTTGAGTTAAAAATAACTGCTTAGGTACAACCAATACAATTGATTTTTAAAATACATCACCTAAAGACCTGAAGACCTGAAGACCTGAGACCTAAATGGCACATTACAAAAATTTGTTCCTGCAGAAACAAAAGAAAATTCAAGAGAATGGTGCCAACAGAAGTAAAACAAAGTTGTGAACAGCATCCATGCCTACAGTACATGCACATCGTAAAATATACTACTGACAGTTTATTTAATTGAAAAATAATCAAACGGGACTGCTTTGAATTACTTCAGGCTATTAAGTCAGAATGCATTTCTTTCTTTCAATACGAAAATTATTTTTAATTATCATTTTAATTCAGTTTTCAATTACAGAACCAGTCACTAAATGTTAGAGTAAAGGTCTGTGCTGTATTTAAAGTTTAATGTAAAACATTTTAGTTAAAAGAGAATTGCCTAATACCAAGGACTCATTTTGTCTTTTTCAAATCTGCAACTTTCATTTCAGAGCATTGAAACGGACACAAGATAAATATCGGTATTTAACATCACTAAAACTAAATTGTGTATCACCAGCAAATGAAGACTATGAGATCAGATATTCTATTGTTTTTATAAATCTCTTAAAGCACATTTTGACTGCATTATCTTCCTTGTCTCAAACCAAACAATGTAGGAAAAAATGTCAAAACACTTACCTAGGCATGAAATGCAAACTTAACATTATAAAAATGTACACTGCTCTTACTTAAGACATATGGATAAAGGGAAACTCCAGACTTTTTCTTTATAAAGGGCAAAAAAATGCTGTTACAGTGTATGATACAGAAAGTGCAGACATCTTACCATTAAAGGAATCAGGGCTTTCTCTGAACTGCAGAGTATGAATACTGACAAACAAGGCATTTTAAAAGTAATGTATTGTCTTGGACACTGGCAGCTTCATTGATTGAATATTTAACCTTTTGTTAAAAAGTATGTTAAAAATTGTTTCTTTAAAATGAGATCAGATTAACATGGGTTCTTAATATTAAATCCCAATACAAGGTTGTTGTATTGAGAAATTGCAAAGCTCACTCAATAAAAAAACATTTTTGTCTGGAATGTGAAAGAAGCATCTCAGATCCCCTTGACATAGAGAAAGACCCAAGCTTAAGAAGGAAGAGAAGGAAGATGAAGCTATGGACAGGCTGAACAGACAGAGAATGAAGAGAGAGAATCAATACCCTTTCTTATACAGTAATATGAGACTTTCAGAAATACCTCTCGGATGTCTAAAATAATGTTCTGTATGTGCTTACAAAGCCTTTTTCTCAAGACGTGACTAATATCCCCAAGATGCCTCTTTCTGTGTTCTTTGGTATCTGAGTTACCCAGTTTGATAATAGACAAAGAATGGTGAAGAAAATAATTTTGAGAATATTCTGTGTTGTCCATTTATGTATTATTACTGTAGATACAAATATTCTACAAGTTTAGATCTTGTTGAGCACACAGGGAAATAAGCAGTATCTAGATAGTAATGCTTAATGTATAGCAAGATTCTTCCAAGGTTTGTTAGTTTCTAAAGGAATGAAAGATTGTTCAAAGGATTTTAATGCTTACAATTATAAGAATCAACAGACACTATAGTTTTTTTTTGTTGGTTTTATCTCTCTGCACTTTTGTGCTTTAGCTTGACACTGTCAGAAGAAATTTCAAGATTCCAGTTCTTTTAACAATGTGCAAGTCAATGATTTTCTCTTTGGTGCATCCTATAGATGTATTCAACTTTTCATATGAACATAATTCAGATTCACTTTGTGGTAATACTACAGAACAAAAACTTCAGGGGAAAAAGGTTAGGTAATAAAGAATGAATGTGTGGTTGTCTGTTGAGTAGCTTGTCTTTTTGAAGCTTATTAGTCTTGAAACCCATCAAATTGTGTTTTTAAAGCAGTGTGCGGTAGCTCTGTCAGCTAACTGGATAAAATCACTTCCTTTTTTTCACTTGGCTTTTCCAGCAGGTGTGGAATTTTTTTTACAGCACTGCCAGCATGCATTTGCTCAAGGTTCCCTTACCATCCAATTATAATTTGTGTGATGATGGTAAAAAAAAAAGTGCCTTAGGACGAGCACACACAGAATTACCCCCGCAGTAAGGCTTGTGAAATTCACTTATCCTAATTAGGCCATTAACATTCAGAAGCACCACCATTTTGCATTTGCAGAAATACAGAAATAGGAAGTTGAAAACAGCTGGCACAATTTGGGACAGCTTTATATACTCTTATATCATATGAATTCAGTTCAGTATGAATTTCACGTATATGTACAGTACTTACAATTTGCATAACTACTCCCACTGCATTTAATGGAAAGAAAATGCATCAATCATAATTTATCACTCACGTGAGAAGGTCTAACAGGCATTTTTGAGGTCCTCAGTGTATATCCCAAAGTAAAGTGTATATACAGTAGCCAAAGTAATATTATTGATAATCCATGCATGTTTTTGTGTGACTTAAACATCACCAACTAGAGGGCTGGAAACTATTAGATTTTCCATAAGATATAAAATTGGATCATTTCCATCAGAGTTATACATCTACTCAGAAAAGCATAGAGGGACTCTGTACCTCATCATAGTAATACCTTTGTGAAACATTGGACTTTCTTGCAGATTAATAATCTTGTGAAAAGCCCGAACCTGGCTTGTGTTAGAAGCAGGAGTTTGGAGAATGTTCTTAAAAATGTCTGTCATGTTTCCTGAATCGCTGCATACATTATATATTGCAATATTTTATGGTGATGTCATTTTGTTTCCATGCTTCTAAGTATGTTTGCAGAGGGCCTCATTTTACAGAATGATGAAATTCACTGGTGAAAAAAACAGAAAACTGAAGGTCAGATAGTGTTTGGACAGCAATACAGTCATCATGGAGAAACCTGTTGGGTGAGCAAATGATGCCAATTTTGATAGGTAGAGGAGAAAAGGTGAGTTAATTATCGCATAAGGAAAGCTAAAGACAACAAGGAACTCAAAATCAGACCCTTGTAGGCATTATCGTTATGGTTTTGCCTTTTTATTAGCATAGCACTTTGAAAGTAAGTGTGGGGTTAATGAGCAGGTACTGACTGCTTCAATTCTTAGCAGGTGTCTACATTTCTGCTGCAGGAAATTTTGATATTCTCGAGTTAATTAAAAATTAGATGAGAAAAGCAGAATAGTGCACTCAGAATTAAAAATATTTACAAAATAGGAAACTGTGTGGGATTGGTGTTTTAAAGCAGAAGCACCTGGATAGCTGGGAGAAGCTCTTAAATTGGCCCAGTTAAGATAATAACCAGCTGGTTTAGTTTATTCAGAACCAATCTGTAATGAAAACCCACAGATACAGCAGCTCTCCAGGACCAGGACTGGTGCTTTCAATCTATCCTTTGTGCAAGGCAATGCTGCCCTCTGTTGGTGACCAGGAGATGTGCACACAGCGGAAAATGTTTACATTCCTTTTAGTATGGCAAGCAGGATGCCATAAGATCTGAAAATTCAAACCTGAGCGTTCATATACAGTAATACAAATAATTGGCTATTCCATTTTCAACTACATGTATAACTTATAAAGCTACTGGTTAAAATTAAGGTTGACAACAAAGAAATTGCACTATATGATTTTTTTTTCAATTTAGTTCTACATAGCAAAAGAAAGACTTCATATCCCATTCAAATCATTTTAACGATGCAGAGATGATGATTGACACATGTTTTGACTTATGGTGATGTAAAAGTATTTGCAATGGGTGTTGTCTCGCTCAGTCCTGGCAAAGAGATCTTTACTATTGTGAACAAGCTGGCCATCATTTTCTTGCTCTGTAATAATCCATTCGTTTTCAACAAACTTGGTGCTGTCTATTATGCAGATATAAATGGATTAATTTTTTTAAACCATTTTCTGAGTGTGTGGTTACTTTCTTAACATTGATCAATTTCCTCCAGACATCTCCCTGGTTAAATTATATTTATGCTAATTAAACTCTTCTTTTTCACTTTCTTGTCACACACATTATGCAACATTTCAATGGGGCTGAAGTTAGAGGACAGGACAAACAGCCCCTCAATTTTTCTTTCTAATTTAAGTAATTAAGGTTGAGAGCAAGTATGTATAAGGGTCATTCTCACAACAAAAATATATTTTTTCTAGGATGAAATGTGTCAGTGAATACGATTACAAGGTAACTTGTAAGAAACGTATATTGTACCTTCTGTTTTCATTTTAATCTCCTATTTATGCATGTACAGTAAAGGATAATCCTAAAACCTTTCCACCTATGTCTTTTACTGCAGCTATGACACAGTATTGTAGGTAAAATCGCTACAAATAACAAAATATACAATGATCTTACGCTATATTTCATATCATAAGATACTGTACATTTAACAAAGAAATGGAATGTTAACAGAAAATGCACCAAAGGTCGATGTTTTTGCTTAATGGATTGCAGGAAAAAATCAGCTGAAATATTGATAGCAAAAATTAATTATCTGTTACATTTTGTACCCAAGTTTAATTTGAGTTTCAGGAAGTGTAACATTGCTTGAACATACCCAGGTTTTGAGGGTCTTTCCGTCTCCCTTCCCATTTTGCAGTATCTGTGTATGCCGGTGACAAAAGGTATCTTCTAGCTAGAAGAACAAAAGGACAATATAACACAAGTATCCTCAAAAAGGTACTGGGAAACAAAGACACAGCTGTTACTTTTGCATTTAAAGTTAAGCAATTTGTGATCGCATTTGTGATCATAAGGTTAATATGAATGATAAATACAATATTTGGAACATTTTGTTTTTAGATAGTTGCACTGATCAATCACATCAGAACAAAAACATATTTTGCGTTCAACACAGAGATTTCAGGTTACCTAAAGTAAATTTGAGACATTGGGTGCAAGTAATTTTGTTGCATATCCCTTTCTGACAAAAACTGCATTAAACTGGTGACGCATTGAACTCACCAGATTTTTTTAGCACATGTCTGAGATGTTCTGTTGCAGTTACTTTGGGCTCTTGCCAATGTTCCGATGTACAGTATTTACTTTTTTCCTTGATCGTGTAAAATACGCGGTCCGTTACATTTAAATTTGGAGACTGACTTGTCTGACCAATTGTTGTTGACTGACCAATTTTAAATGTAACGCAGAAATGTTTCTGTAAACTTCAGAGTTTATTCTACTGCTGCCATCACTAGTTACATCATCAATGAAGGCGAATGAGGCAGTCCAAGAGACGGCTAAGCGTTGAACATCTCACAGCATTGAACGTTACCTGGTGCTGCATTGCACACAGAAAATAACACGTATCCTTGATCTTTCCCTAACCGCATGCAAATCTATCATCCTTATCAACCAGTATTAAAAAAACCTAAACGAACACTTCAGTTAATACATTATTAACCTCTGGAGTACAGACGCCTTTACTACTTGGTAAAAGGACTGTCACTATGACAGCTAGGCAACTACCAGCAATAATCTGACATTGAAAATCTAAAATAAGAAGCAGTAGGAAAAAGATCAACGCTACCATTGTAGCTGATTTAATTCCCTATATTACCTGTTAAACTTTGTGTTGCATACTTTGTTAAGCACCTTGTAGACAAAACACAGCGTTGTAACATGGAAGCAGCCATTTTGGAATGAAGCAATTTTTGATGACGTAAAGGGTGTAAATGACCTTTTAAAAATAGGTGGCTCATGACAGCTACAGAAATGTACATATCAAAAATAAATAACTACATTTGATAAAAAACATGAATATCCACGAAGTTTTTGAATGTAAAATGTGTTTTTTTTTCTTTCTCGGATCGTTTAAATAAAGTGTGTCACCCCCTGTAAATAATTGGTTCAGTCACATAACAGCATGGCGTTGAGAGAGATGGGGGTTTGTTTTAGGAATCTATTATGCAATGTCAAACGCAAAGCTTTTCATTCTGGTTTAAAACCATCAGAATGCTGGACTTGCAGGTTAGGCGGTACGTCATTTACATCTTTTTACGGTATTGAAACTCTTAAGTTAACACTATGTGTAATGTGTGTTTGGCTGAACTCGAACTTGCTGTACGACTGCAGTTATTGTTTCAACGTATGTATATACGTATCAGATAAACGTCTGAAGAGTACGCAATTTAAATTTGTTTCGTAGGAGAGATTTTAAGAATTTTTAGTATTGCCAGTTGTTTTCGTGTTCCTTAGACAGTAGGTGATATATCTGCTTTCTTACATTCAAGAAGACTGCATTCCTAGTCTTACTGTTCAAAGCTAGATCCAAGTCAAATTGTATTGTAATTTTGTAAATCATCAACCCAATTTTGCAATTTGTATGCGTAATTGGAAATTATGCCATACTGTGCATAGTGTATGTATCTTTTTCTGTTGTTAACAGTAAATGTACCATGACAAACTGATGAGTAGCAGGCTGATCATCTAGGGTAATGTGGTGTATTTCCCACTGTAGTGGTACAACTGTGTATTCACAGTATTAATATTACATCTCTGAAAGTTTCCACCCTGCTTATCCCATATGTTATCCTGGGGTTCTCAGATATGCCCAAACTACAGGTACATTATTAGGCCATCTTTTCAGCTCTCTAGATAACTTCTCAAATTCTCCCTTGTATTCATTTAGTCACAAAAAAGGTTAGAAAAACCTAGCACCATTTGAGAGCACAAATCAAGTTGGCTCAAAAGCAGTAGAAGAAAAAAAACATCATATACCATTCTGGATCCATTTTGTTATCTTTTCAGTCAAGTCAGTAGTGGACATTTGGGCCATATAAAGTAAAAAGTAAAACAACTATTGAATAATGTAAAATTGATTTTTTTAAACAAATATCACTGATAAGATATTATTTAGGATTTTCATTGTTGTAGTCAATGTTAAATAACTACATTCTAATCTTTTGTATTATAATTTAATTTATATCTGCAGCAAAACGGTACTTATTGTCAGAGGATGTTATACGACTACAAGAATTCCAACAAAGAAAAATAGCAGTTGCTCACCAGACGTATGGCAATAAAGGTAACTATTATACTAGGAATCTTCAGACAGGGATTAAAGATTTCTTGCATTGGATCCAAGTTACTGCCTTTCCTTTTGGCGCAGGGTGTTCTTTCTACTGTACTTTGTATCCTTTTACACTTAGAATTTCTTATTGCATTTTAAATAGTTATTTCTTACTGTTTAATTTATTTCATTTTAATATACAGTAGGCGAGTAGCAATAATTAGAATGCCTCGCAGAAGTATTCTCCCATTTATTCCTGTTTTGTTTTACAAGTGATGGATACACATCTAAGTTAACATGTTAATCAGAACTTCAAAGCTTAAGCTGGACACTTTTATTGCTGAACAACATTAAATGTCAACAAATCTGTGCAGAAAAAAACAAAAATGAAAATATTGATTTATTATGATAATATTAGTGAAATATAAAGTATTCACCTATTTGCTATGGCAAACCTATATTATATATATATAAGTTCAGGTGAACACTATATTACTTTGGCAAGTCACAGATATTTGACTGGCCTCTGGGTGCAGTAATCATGGTTCATGTGATTTCAGAATAAATACACCAGGCTCTAAAAGATCCCTCAGACTTCATAGAATCATAGATTCATCTATGAAAGCCAAAGTGATTTGAGATACATTTTAGGGATAAAGTTGTGCAAAATCTTAGGAGAAAGATGTAAAAACTTTCAAAAATACTAAATGTTGACATTGAAGGTGTATTCTAAAACCAAGTCACTAACTGGACGAACTCAGTACCTGGGCGAGAGGAAACTAGTGAGGTGACTAACGACTTTCAGAGTTGATATGTCAATAATATCCCGACCACTCAACAAAACTAGCCTGCATGGCAAGGCTGGAATACGCATCACAAATTAGAGTTAGCGTTGGATATACCTGTAGCTGTCTACACATAAATGCATCACTTTGAGAGCTTTTGTTGCCTTATTTATTGAAACACTCTCATGTCCAACAAAATTGATTCACTTTTGCTTTTTTGTGCTTCATTATTTTTCAGAACAGTATTTTCAGAAGTTAGAACAAAAGATACAACGAAATGACCTCATTCTGAAAGATGAATTAAAAATGCTCTTGCATCTGTGCCAAACCCCGGATGATGTAGAAATGGCAAAGAATGTAATATACAAGTAAGTGCCTGAGGAAAGTTATTTATCACAGATGCTGAAAGGGTAGCACTGGATTGCTGCCATCTAAAATCTCAGAAAACCTGTGCTTTTTGCATACAAATTAATTGGAAAGGTTCAAAGAAAAGAAAAACATTGAAAAGAATTACTATAACATCACCCCTTAATTGTGAAAACAAAACTTGGATCTTTGTATTTAGGAAATGATACTGCTTATGATTTACCCCATTTTAGTTTGTTTGAAGAAGAGAACATATCTTATTGGCCTCTTAATTGTATGGGTAAGTGTATTTGTCTAGTTCCATAAGAAAATGTGTGTTAATATATACTGAACAAACGCAAATTCAAATAAAATATATAAGATGACTATAATTGATATGAGTCACAATTCCAAATTAATGGGTGTTGTAATAATACAGATCATCACATTTACATAAAAGTGTCCTTTTGAGGAATGAAGGAATGCAGTTTTTCTCTCCCAGGCAAAAAAAATCCAATTTCAGTGTCAGCAGTTCCGAGCAAACTTGAAAGTTTTTTATTTTCAGGGGTCAAGTAAGGCTTACTAAAGAATAGGTGATATACAAGGCTTTTTATTAGCTTTGTTTGGGTTGACCAAACCTGTCTTTTAAGACGTGACAAGGTATTTAAACACGGTTGTTTGATTTGTTTTTCTAGGAAAAAACAATACTGTAGAGCAAAATGGCAAAAATAAGACAAATACTGGTTCATCATGTCTTGAAAATTTAGTACACTTGTAAGCTAACTGAGCTTATTTTTTCTGTGTTATGGTTTGCTTTTTCTCTTCTAGGTACCATAATGAGAACAGAAATTTTGCTTTTGGAGAATTCAAGTTTGGACCTGTCTTTGTACGACTGTGCTATGAGTTGGGTTTAGAAGAAACTGCAGCTGAGCTCATAAAAGATGAGGTGAACCTTTCATTAGAAACCCAGATTACATATTCCTCAGCTCTTCATATGTTTCTTAATCATCACCACCATGTGAATTCATGCTGTTATTATCCTGATCAATTTCTACATGGTCTCCAAAGTATTTATTTTTTTAAATATATTGCTTGCAGGATTTTTTTACTTCAAACTCGGTGAGTCATTTATAAATGTTCACAAGACCATGTTGCTCTGTACTGCACCCTACATTTTGTATGGAACTGGATATTTTCATCCCTTTGCAGTATAGTTTTTAGTATGCTGTAAATCACTAAATTGTATTCATTTAAAATGGTCATTAAGCTGTGTACTTCTGTGCTATGTCACTGAATATTAATGGATTTGTTTAGTGAATTTGTAGTGTAAATTTCAGTGTCTTGATGAATCATTGTCTCAAACTATTTTTTCAAAATCTCTATTATGCGGTTCATTTGTCTTATTATAACACCAGCTTCTCATATTTCTATTTTCTTCTAGAACATTCTTGCATCATCTATAAACTGCCCCATTTATCATACCTATCCTAGTTTATCAGTACCTTTAATGCCTTTGTAAGTCTTGGCAGTGTAACAAGGAACAACTGTATGCATTTCCTGTGGTATCTTTATATTGTTTGTCATTGTAGTTTAGTTCTCGCACATATTGAATGTTATTTACTTGAATATGATCCATTCAGCTATTTTCTGGTAGCGTCACTCATTTTAAGAATGCCAGTCCATCACAGAGCACACACAGACACACATACTAAATCCAGGGCCACTTTTCCCAGAAGCCAGTTAACCTACCAGTATGTCTTTGGGCTGTGTGAGAAAACCCACGTGAATATAGAAAGAACATACAAACTCCATGCAGACATGACCCCAGGTATGGAATTGAACCCAGGGCCCCAGGTTTGAGAGGCAGCAATGCTAACCACTGTGCCTCTGTGCCATCCGTTTATTCAATATTCTGGTTTAAAATATTTTAAACTAACTCAAAATGCAGCTTCCTCAACCAATAGATATAATTTCCATCTCAAGAGAAGTGGAATCTTTTTTGCAAGATGTCTGTTTAAAAGATTATCGCAATTTGTCATCATGATAACCAACAGAGGGAGCTGTTGTTTATAAATGGTTACTTCTTGGACAGTTGCTTTCATTCAACAGGAAAAAAAAATTAAAAGATGTACAGTATATAAAGAGGGTATATATTTTATATAATGTCTTAATGTTCCATTTAAAAAAAAAACACAGCTGTAAATGATTTCTCTCTAGAGAGAGCGATAGGCAAACTAAAATAGTAAGTAACACTAACAAGGTCAGTTTAAGAAACTGTTCACTTCCAAACATTTTTCTTCAGACATAAGAACAACATGGTGAGAGATACTTCAGTTTTCACCAACCATTTTTTCACTGTAATCCTGAGATTTATTTATCAATTTAGGATTTTATTCTTTACAGTTTTACATTAGGTTTGTTTTTCTGGAATCTGTTCAACACATCTAATGTAATGTGTTTTTTTTTGCTTTTCTATTTAAGGCTCTCAAAGGATTCTTTTCAGACTCAACTTCCTTCAACATTGTGATGGACATGTTGTTTATGAAAGGATGCTACAAGAGTAAGAAATCTAAGTTTTAATACCTCTGACTCCACCCCCGCACCAAAAAAACATTTGTTTTGCTTTTCTATCAGGAAATAATGGGGGGAGTGCCATAACTTGCCTCCTGTGAAATCAGACAAGGATGTAGCAGCTAACTTTGTATACATTGTGTGATTTACAGTAAATCGGCAACAATTTCACAAAAGATGAAGTTCATAACCTCTGAAAATGTGATTTAAGTTGCAAGCTTAAAATAATTGGAATCCTGAGAGCTGACTGTACTGTCCCGATGAGTAATCCTAATTGTGTAAAATTGCATAAGTCATGATTCTGAATTTCTATAATTTTTTTAAAGTGAAAGATTTATAAGGTTAAGGGTTGCCTGCGTTTTTAGATTTATGCTCCTTGCCCAACTTTAATTATCAAATAGAAAGTCACCTTGAAAGGGATTAATCCATTAAATTCTGAAACATCCTAAGGGAAGAGGCTGAAATGTTTGTATTACAGGTTTGGACAGCATGATTATAGTATACATCATACAGGTTTATCTCAGTTGAGACTCCCCAGTTAGAGAAGAACAATTAACTGGTTAAAATATGTATATGCATGGATTTCTATCATCGGTACCTTCCTGAAATAGATTTAAAATAAGTAGGATCTGGATATTGCTTTTGATGCACAGTCTGCTACTAAATATTTTTAATCAACTCCAGTAATGGAAACATATGTTAGATTTATTTGAAGTTCCATCGTAGTGGAGCTTAGCATCTCCATTTAAATGGGGTGCCAAAGGTTTTAAAGGAAGATAACAGACTGCTCAGAACTTGAACTTGGGTGGTGTTCCCTGCTGTAACAAAAGCTGGAAGATTCAGCGCGTGAATGAGCACACCTTCGGTTCTGTTGACTTGGAAAACAGGAAGTTATTTCCTGTTAGGATTCCCTGGAGCTCAGACATTGTGTAAGGGCATGGGCCTTCTCACCAGGACATTTACCTCTGCTGATGGGCTGATATGAAGCCCATATTAATTTCTTCATTAACTTGAAACCTTTTCCCATGTAAGCAATTCCAAACCAGAGGTACATATAATCCACTATTAGAGTGGGCTTTGCAGATCAATTAGAATTCATATGGTTTCAAGACACAATATAATATGCACTCTTGACAGAGTCCATGTACTGTGTTTATTGTTCTGTACTACTCCAAGCACAAAACAACCCAAACCACAGCAAGGATTTGTTTGGCTTTGTGCATAAAGCAGGGCCTGATACTGACATTCACACAGAAAGCTGATGTTCATGTTACAAATGCAGACGTGTTATTGCAAAATAGGCATGCTTCTTTAACTGTTATTGGGAGCTGAACCACTCCAGGTTTTTAATGATATTTCTTTACATTTCCAGGTGCTTTGGAGGTTTTGATAGAAATGAAGAGGCAGGGGCTGCCTTTCAATAAGGACACATATACACTGGCATTTGCAAGCTGCTATAAATTGGTGAGTGCCGTGCAGTAGATCACCCAGGGGGCTTATTTTTAATATGTACCAGAATGAATAGTCATAAAACATTGTCTTAACCAAGGGTTTTTATCATTTTCCTTTGTCACACTGTCCCAATTTATTTTTATATACCTTCTATTTTGTAAGCATTTTAAGCACTTAAAATAAAACTGGATTCTTTTGGTAAATCAAGAAAAATAAATGGTACCAAACAGGAGTATTGTAAGGAGATTTTGATGCAGAATGTTTAGGATCAGTAAGTTTAAATGCAAAGCTGGAAGAATATGTGCTGTTGTGGGTTGACAGAACACCCCAGAGTCCTTCAGAATCTGCACAACTCTCCTGGAAGAATCACGGATGAAGGGAAACGTGGTTCCCAGGCGTGCTTACTGTTTTGCAGTTGCCCTAGCTCTTAAACAGGTGGGTCACGTGTGCTTCCTAATGTCTGATCTGTATTATCAGTCAGTTCTGCAACCTTATCTAACTAAAGTATTCTAAATGCGTGTTGCTGTAGTAAAAATGTTCAGTAATTAAAAGGATGTATACAGTTAAATGTATGAATATCATAGAGGGTTTATAACATTAACCGTTGTAGTTTGTCAGCCAACATAAGTTTGTGAGCCGTCTCTGGAGCGCATTTTTCAACTGTTTACAAATGCGCTCCAGATACAGCTCACAAATTTATGTTCAGTTATAAACTGTAACTGATCGTGTGTTTATAAGGCTCTTCATTTAAGAGAAAATTATTTATTTTGCTGTTAATCATATTGGGTGAAGTGGAGATTTCTCAGCATTGCTGCTGTGAATTGATTTGGCTGTGCAAATATTGTGAGGCTGTGCTTATCTGAAACCAGAGAACAACTTT